GGTGTGTAGTGAGAACGGGAGACCCACACGGCACCACGCTTAGGTAGAGCACGTGCTGTACTTGAGACCTAGTCAATTCCATACGCCCCTTTAGTTTTAATAGGAACACGCATGGAGTGTATTTTAAGACAATCATAATTATTATCGATCGTTGTCAATTTACTTTTGGATGAAGGGCTCCCCTACGTCGATGTCGGTCATGGGGGTTGTGTGACCAAACTTCACTACGCTGGCCAGTGCGGGTTGGTGATGGACTTGACCTGTTCATATCACTCGCCATTGACGTTAACCATGACCGGGAATTGAACTCATGGGGCGGATTTGTAGGGCAGAGGGCTATACGAGAGCTCGCATACGTGGCAAGTAATATCTGAACCTATAATATACGATGTGGCTATCACCATATCCGGCCGCGTTTGCCTCCCCGGTGCTGACTGTTTACTCACCGCACCAGACACTAATTTAAGGTTGAGTTGACATGAGGGACACCCACAGGGCCTGTTCAAATATGCGTCACCGATTTTGACCGCGGACGGGAATCGAATGTGGGTCATCGGATTCGTATTGGTTAGTGCGCTGACCACCGCACCACCGCTCCCCGTTCTCCCCGCTTGGACGCACGCACAGACACGCACGCGCGAACAGACGCTCACTCACTCTTACAGCATCGCCCATGGGAATTCACGAACGCGTGCTGCAAAGGGGCCTATAATATGTAACTGCGCAACGGGCTGACTTTACAGTTTCACAATTGGCATTGCCGCAATCAATTCCAACCTTTGGTTTAAATGCACACCCCTCCAGTGCGGCGTGACTGGCAGATTCGCCGCCGAGCTGCGCCGTGCGCTGGACTCGACGCCTCAGTTTGTGGTGCTACTCATGGAACTGCGTCCACCCGCATCCTCAATCACCGCAGAGGGGGACTCCTGAGATGGGATGCTGCGTGAATTCCTTTTGGCCGTTCAATTATTCATAATTGAGTGTTGCAAACATACAGTGTTGCTTATGTCATGTATTACTTTAGTGCGTTATTGCCGCCGATTGGTACACGTGCAATTCAAACCTATCATCATCATCAGCCGTGCTGGATTAAGGTCTACCCGAAGTGTCGCCACGTCGCACAGTAACGCGATGCAACAATTCTATAGCACCTGCACACGAGCAGACTCATCACTCCATCTCATTGCTGGATATCCTCTCATTGGGCTGTCAGTCCGTTATTAATCTCGACCATCAGCCATTACGTGCCTTGCCCAAGTCCACTTACTTTCAATCACAGTCAATATATTTCTAAAATATATGTGTGAAACTCCATAATGGCATTATTAATAGTACTGGCAGGAAAATCATATGTTTCAAACGACATGACCCAAAATATGTAAAATGCACAAAGCCTTTGTGCATTATCCAAAACTCATAAGCAGTCTCTAAAGAAGGTCATTGCAGTCATCTTGTGTTAGGTCACCATCACAATAAATCAACACATTGTCTGTATAACACGTAGTAGGCTTTCGCGACCAATATTATCGATAATAACGTTTTGTTGGGTTAGATTCGCATGAATATTCCGGCAAATCACCTGACGCTGGTTTGTCATCGCCATCGAAACGTTGTACTCAAATTGCAAATGCTGTGGGTTTACTCTCCAACACAACGGAGTGCTGGAGTAGTAACTAAATGGCACGTTTTTGTTCACGTGACAAACCTTACCAATTGGTTGTGTCGGGTTGTAGTGGGTTAACTACACATTGAGATTTACGTGATCTGACCAAAAAGAACACCTTTATTATGGACAACGGTTGTCTATCTTTCCATCACTACTGCTGCTGCTGACGGTCACATTTGCCCACATGTATTGCGATGTTGCCCGAGGACAAGGGGACCACTACAGTTTTTTTTCAGGAGCTGCTGATGGTTCTCCCCGTCTCAGTTTCATTCCCAGCATGCATCTTCCTATATAGGTCTGCGTAATTGGTTACTCACATGGCTCTGACAATCATCACGAGCGAGTGGACATCGAGCAACCGACTCTTGAGCTGAGGTAACCAACCCCCAGGGGGAATGGGTCGGAAGCCCATCAGGCTCTATCGAGGGACCAGTGGCAAGCGAGCAGCCCACTCTGAGATAACCTGATTGATTAACCTGATTAATTAACACGTAACTACATTCCTCATGCACGTCAACATACTGTTGCTATTGAGATGAAACCAATTGATAATGTATGATTATGTAACACCAAAAATCTCTTCAATAAACCTTTTTTTCACTTATTCCCCATAATTCTAAACCAAACACTGTTAATTAAAATAACCACGTTAAGCATTTAACAGGTAACTGTAATCACAATTGCATTTACACTCTATCTTCATTACCAACACAATACACCTTAATATAATAAATGATAGCCTATTTTCACAAACGACTGAATATAATTAAACTTATTACATCACCAAGCAATCGACTCTAATTATTAAACCGGTCCATGTGCACGTGTCCTGGAGACGTCATAGCACCGATCTGAGCACCCGGATCAGCACGTGCTTTCACGCAGCGCGATCGGCGCCCTCGCCAAGAAGACCAGGTGGTTGATGCTGGGTGTCATTCCAGCGAAACGTGGCTCAACAATTATCAATCGTTTGCTTGACTTTTGAACATTACTACGGTCTTTTCTTCTGGAAACCCAATTCAGTCGGCATATTTGCACAAGGGACAACTTGATTTGATTGACTGTCGGTTGGTTTGTGTGCTGTTGTTGTTTGGAACTAAGGTGGAGGGTTATATTTACGAGTTGACACGATCTAACCCAAACGAAACGATTTGTGAATTTGTGGCCTTTGTTGGGCCTTTTTGAGTTCTTCAATCATGTTTTGTAATTGTCATCGATTGCATAACGTATGTTTAGTCAGCAAATATGAAGTGATTAATATTCTCATTTGTGGTTATGTCTTTAATTCTCGAAAGCAATCAAAAACCTTTGTGGGAGCGTATTTCCTTACTCCCCCAGAGGTGTTCTTCGCACCTCACGGTCATTATTATCTTGGGCAGATGCACTGATTAGCTACATGTAATTATTTTATTGTGATGCATTTCAACCCAGGAAAACCTCACTAAGTCCCAAGACTCAGAATTTTTTTTATTTATTTACGGGAGTCCTGAATAATTTATAGGTGATTTTTTTCAGCATTGTGATGTTTTGCCATGACCAATTACGTTCTGCTTTTGTTTTAGCAATGGAAGGAAGAAACTCAGTCGAGGTGGTGCCCGGTGGGGGGGGCTTGTGGGTAATTGGGTGCGCCACGGTGGCGAGATGTTAACTGCCTCGCCTGGTATACAGGAGGTCGTGGGTTTGATCACGACCCTGGCACCTGCTGTATATTTGTAGTTTTCATATTCTCCCCCGTGGTCGCGTGGATTTTCCTCCACATTTAGAATAAACATGCATTCGGAGTATTTGGCTGCTATAAATATCTACATGATAAGCTACTCCGTTGAGCTAGCATTTGTGGCCAGATCGCTTCTGAAAAAAAACGATTTAGCCCGGTGGGCCTAAAGCTGGTAAAATTAAAATAAAACTATACAAGCTTCACGCAGAAAGGCACCCAAGTCAGGAATCTTGCCGTGAGGCACCAGCGTTGCCACTGCGTCAACCTGCTACCGCCCTGTAGGTTGGCGAATGGATCTGGATTGTGCAGACGAGGCAGCTCTATTCGCCGACGATTGACGACCCTGTGTGAGGAGCAGCCGTCTCGCGGCTCCTCCTGCAGAGCGAGCAAGGTGGCGCGTGCTTGTGTCCATCACGGGGTCAGGGTCAGACGAGATCCCGAATGTGTGCCCTTGGGCACGCGCCTCTCCAAGTGCAGGTCACGGGTTGGACGGTTGAGTCTATCCACGGGTTCGCGCGTCTGGTTGTGATGTTGATTCCTCGGGCTACTGTGGCCTGGACGCACGCAGTCGCCTCGGTCTGGCGGGTTCGGTGATGAATCGGCTTGACAAGGTCTGGAGGCAGCAACGGCGGCTTGCTCTCGTGACGCAATTGCGCGCGATACGTGGTGCTGTGTAAGGCCGGGGTGTCTTGAGGAGGGACTGGGACTCAACGCTTCCCGTACGCGATGTCTCGAACGCGTCACGAACGAAGCAGAGGCGAATCGGATCGGACTCGCCGACATGGAACTGCGATGACGTCGCTTTGAAAATGGGCATCTGAGAGCCTTCGTTTATCTGGGTGTATGCAACTCCTTGTTTGAATGCCAGAGAGACCAAGAATCCGACTCCTCCATAATGACAAGTGTCCTCTCTCCCTCTGATAGAATAGGAAGCCCATCTTTAAACGCAAGGAATGTTCTGTTTGTCTCCTCGGCTCTCTGAATTCAACTATGATAAATAATATGCACAGGCTTGTTTTTCGGATATTGTGTGCGTGTGTTAATTATGCTTGTGCATCACTGCCAACGCAGCATCGCCAAATTAAGTGGTTACATATGCCAATATATTCAGGTCTATATCCCATTGCGCTCTCATTTAAATCCAACCGCCGCCCCGCGGAGGCACCGCGCACGGCTGCCTGAGGTCCGACGTTTCGCTGACAGAGCCGCCTGTGCGCACGAGGGCTAGCGCTCGCGCGATGGCCATGCTCGCCGCTTGGCTGCTCGCGTCTGCCTCGAACGAGAGTGCACGCCGTTATTGATGAGCGTGCCGCATACAACACGCGCACACACATTGCGCGTTGCGGTCGGGTATAGCCCGCATTATATATTAATACGCGCGCGTGTGTTTACGTCTCTCGGCGAAGACCGTACACTTGTGGGTGGATGGGGGTGGGTAGATTCGAGACAGAGATGGGTGGCTGTGGCCAGTGGGGATGATGGTTGTGGGTGGAGGGTGTGGGATGGATGGTTGGGGGGTTTGTGAGAGGGGGGGGGTCTTAGCACACACTGTGCCCCCACCCCGACCCCCCCACCCCCCCCCACGGGCTTTCTTCTGGCCACGCAGTCTGCCAGCTGCCTCCCCTCTCTCACTTGCGAGGTGGGCGACGCGAGATGAGCATCGCCCCCGCACACAGTGCAGCAGTAGCATCTCTGGTCGCCAAGGGACCGCCGCACGCGACGTGGAGAGCTGAGAGAGAGAGCACAGGGGCTGACCGGCGTCTCTCCCCGCGAGACTCAACAAGCCGCGGTGCGCGCAGCCCCCCGTGTCCCGCAGAGAGGAGTGATCTCGACTCATCTCGATGCGGTCTCTGATTAGGCGCGAAGGGATTAAAGGGACCGATGGACCTTGGTGACTGTGCCTGGCGCCGCGGGGACGGGATGAGCGTAAAGAAGCGCAGACCGAGTGCGTGCACCGGCATCAGCTGTGTTCGCTGATCCTCAGGGAGGACTGAAGCGAGTCTGCCACACACCTCCCGTGATTTCCGTCCAATTTTGTTTGTTTCACGAGCAGCGACAAATACAGAAGCAGCAGCAAGCCAACAGCCAGAAGCATCGACACATGGATTCGTCGTTGGTTTCTTCACCGTTCCCATCATCACCATCATCACCATCGAGAGCACTGCCACCAACAGCACCACTCCTACCGGAAACGTCACAAGCAGCAGCAGCAGCGTCTCGGCAGAGGGACGTTGCGGCAGACGCCGTAGAGTGTCAGGAGCAGCAGCAGGAGCAGGAGGAGGATGAGGGATGTGCAAGGGTCGTGGTCGCGGACTCGGGGGCGGAGCGCGCTGGCGCTCGTTCCGCCCCTCGCCCCTGGAGCCGAGCCGAGCGCCCCGCGCTGTCCCCACGCTGCCAAGTCCCCGGCGCGGGACACTCGGGGTCCGAGCCGGGACAGCGGCCCGGCTCTCCCCGCGATCCCGCTCCGGATCCAGCTCCCCCTCATCTGGAGCCAGCCGCATGTCCACCCCATCCACGCGCGGTCGAGGCTTGGCTGGATGACAACCCGGACTTTGCCAGGTCTTACTTCGCCAGGAAGGCAACCAGGTGAGTGTGCAGGCTCACTCGAAACGTTCCGAACCTCGTTCGGCTTCGCAAATTAGAGAGAGCTGCTTGTGGTACTGCGTTGGCAGTGGTGCCCGGGCACACACAACAACAATTGAATAACGATGCCTCCGAAAAGAAAAGTACACTAAGCGACGTTTCGGGAAATTATCCTTCTTCCTAGCGGAGCGCTCAAACCGACATGAACGCCGGCGCACCGCGCCCGTGTTCGTATCGCGGCGACACAACGGGCGGGCGCCTCGCTCGCACTGCATATATGGTAATAACACGAGTTGCTGCTCTCAGGAACTTTGTAAACAATGCTCGTGCGAAACCATACGGGCGCTAGTTGTGTTCGCCACCGGAGAAGAAAGCGGCGTTACAGAGTGAGTCGAGGTGTAGGGTATTGTTTCTGGCATAGATGGAACACGCGGGTTTTCTGTGTGTGTAATCATGGGGGGGGGGGCCGGGGGTGAAATCAAGAGTCCCGTCTTGCGCTCACAGATACGCCCGTGCGAGTCGATGATGGTGGATTCCGGAAGAGGGCACTTTCAGCTCAGGGCGAGAAGAGAGGGGAGGCAGCCCCGCATCTTCCCCGCGGTTCGCAATTCGCCGCTATCAGTAACAGCAGCAGGAGCCGTAGTCGCCCGTCGCAAGATAACTGCATAAGGCGAGCGGGGCCAGAGGAAGCCACGGGGCTTCCACTGGAGCCGCTCAGCACGCACCCCGCTGCCTAGGGCGATGCGCCACGTGCTCTCGAGGCGGTCAGGGTTCTGTGACCCCCCACCCCCTGCCTACCACCACCGGCGGTTGCGTGAAGACGAAGGCGCGGTGTGTTTGATGAGTGCTTCGCGGAATCTGCGTAACGGTGAGCGCGGCTGGCTTCGCTTTTTCTACCGCGCTCGTTGCACGGTTGCGTTGCCCATGTTGCAGTACATCCGTGATGATTGTAGACACAAAGACACAGATCCCCCATGTAGCCTGGACGGACTGTTGGGGCAAGTGCTGTTAGCGAGCACCTATGAAGTCAAGTACGGTACACGAAGAGGTGGGTGGGTGGCCAGCACCATGCCCGACCGCCTTTGTCTCCCCAATGGCGATGGTTATACACCTCACCAGTTGCTAATTTGAGGTTGAGTCGACCTAGGGGAGGCCCGTGACCGGTTCAGATAATCGTCACTGGTGTTGGCCGTGAGCGAGAATCAAACCTCGGTCGCCACGTTCGTTGTGCAGCCTGCTAACAGATGCGCTAACCGCTGCACTACCGCTCCCCACGAGCACAATCTCACAGCCATCATCATCATTGTCTTGTATGTATGCACGTATGTATGTTGAACTTCTTGTAATCGGAACGTGTATAGGAAGCGAACGTTTCGGTTGATCATCCCTTTTCAGCAATACGAATACCCTCCCTTAATGCTTGTTGAATGCATTTTTTACGACTAATTATATAGCCGTATTTTAAATGAGTATCCTGTCAATGAGTCATCGAACTGAATGTGTAATGTACAGTTCATCCCTTAGTCAATGCACTGTTGGATTAAGGCCTTCCCCATGCTCCATCAGTCTTGCGGATGATTTGGCCATACTTCACCACGCTGGTCAGTGCCGCTTGGTGAAGGGGCGGAGGGGAGGCCGCAGGACCGCTGGCAATGTCACTCGCCACTGATGTTAGCAGCCGCGGCCGGGAATCGAACTGAGGTCGCCGATTTCATAGCGCAGTGCCCGGACCACTGCGCAACCGTAGGCATTGCCATGGGTCTGCGAGCGTGACTTGGGCAGTAGTGGCTGCGTGCGTGTAGTGTGCGTGTGGTCATTAATGAGGACCGGGCTGCTGACCTTATATAGCTGCGGACGCATTCATGCACATCATCCTTGCGTGCTGCTTGCTCGCAGCCTGGGTCGCTGCAGATCATATCTCATGTTCCTAGCAAAAACGACGGCTTAGGTGGCTGCAACACCAGGGTGATATCGTAACTGTTTTAGGGAGAGAGAACAAGTTTTGCTGGCTGCCTTTCACGTCCGGAGGGACGAACGAGCAGATGGCCACGTCCTATAAGGTTTATACGGTCTGCCGGTATTGCATATGTATGCAATTATATCTGTACATTACAACCAAGTCTTAATTTCTCACTCGATATTTTTTTCCGGAGCGCTGCTATGCTGGCTCGGAGTTTGGCTTATCGCCGTAAGGCACTACCACTAGAGTACACGGCGCCCATGTATGATCATCCTGCACAATTGTAGGAGTCTATGCTGTCCTCCTAAAGTTCTCCGAGGACACATTAAGGAAGCGAGACGGGTGTGGCATGCTAAGTCCCGGGGGAGGACGTTTTAGAGTTTGTCCTGGCTGAGAACAAAATCCCCTGATTCAAACATCAAAGGCCAATGAGACGCGTACACTCATTTCCATTCCCCGATGTATGGAGGTGGCGATGCACGGCCTGCACTTCACAAGCCTCGCAGGGTGCACACTCTACGAGCAACGATCGCATAACAATTCACTTCGGGTTTATACATTCTCAAGTACGTCGAAATAACGATGGAAATTCACCAGCTTGTGTTGTTGTTGACATTAAATCTGCCTTGTACCTGTCAATCAAAAGACAACGCGGCTTGTTGGCAAACCCTTCGTTAGAAGCGGGTGGCGTGGCCGTGCCGTGGCTCAGCGTGCCCCCTCCCACTCTTTGTCAGCCACCGATTGTAGAGGCTCAGCATATTTGCGAGACCTTTATGACCCCCGAGCAATTAAGGCTCATTACTGCACTTACACGGAGCTAACGGCGCTCGGTCTATGTCGTGCAGTTCGGTGGACGTTACCGTCACCGCGATTTGACGTTGGAGAGAGAGGGATGACTGACATGACGTGTGGAAATACTGTGCGTGGAAGAAGTGTAACCCCGTGTCTCCGGCACATGTGAGAAATGACAAGATGGTCTTAAAGGTCTCAGGTCGAATTAAGTCGACAAACAAGGCTCGACACGCAGCTTCATAGAGATCAGGAGGGGGTAATGTTGTTACAAGATGTTCTGATTCGCATCGAGGGTTAGGATGCATTCGTCATTGAAGTCCATCACAAATAGACAATCGTAATCGAGTGACACTGATTCCGTTTATTTTCGACAAGGGCTAGAAATTTGACATTTGGTATAAATATACACACATAGAGTCGACTAAATGTGATTTTTTTTTAAGTCAACGTTTTTAATTTGGGCTCCTTAATTGCGGCCTGAAGATTGTGATCAGCGTAATGTTCTCAATGTCTGTAACCCGTCTTCTTAACGCCTATAAAAATACGGATGAGGGCTTCGCCGGGTCATCAGTGAAGCAATGAATTGGCATCCGAAGAGTGTGACGCTAAAGCCGATAGAAAGGTGGGCACGTTCCACTTCGAGTAAGGGGCCGTCCATAAATGACGTCACGCACCTGAGGGGGGGGGGGGTGGTCAGAAATTTGTGACGAGGGGGGGGGGGGGGTTGAGAAATGTGACGTCACATCAAAATGCGCAACTTGAAATAAATGTAGACAACACGTTTTACTTAATTAAATAGACGTTTTAATAAACGTTTTGTCCTACAACATCAGAGTGCAGCGCCACATTAAATGCGCACTACAATGACAATAATTTAAAGCGATTTGAAGCATGTTTTCTTTTTAAAATGGAAATATGGTTTGGGGGGGGCAGAGCTTTGTGACGTGATATTTGAGGGGGGGGGGGTCTGACTTTTTGTGACGCCGTGTGACGAGGGGGGGGGGGGGGGTAAAAAATCGTCCAAAATCGCGAGACGTCATTTATGGACGGCCCCTGACTACAACAGCTGATCACAAGTCACATGGGCATAAGACGTGGACTCGAGTTAGCCTTGGGCCACTGAAGTGCCTGGCGGAATTAAAGAGAGACTATTATCATCAGACATGTTCAATCTACCGTTGGATGAAGGCCTCCCCAAGCAGCCGACACCTCTCACGATGCAGCAATCCACCCTGCACCTGTACCTGAACCGATGTCATCGCTCCATTTCCTCGACTGGCGATCTCTCGCTCGCAGACGCATTTCCATTCCTTGGCTGCTCGTGGGATATTTTTCTCGACCATCTTCCCCTCCAAGCGACGCGTCCTTCCCAACCCCACTGAGTTTGCCTGACCGTGGCATCGGTTGGGATGGTGGGGACGAACGTGGGGATGCTAGGCATCACCGGGCACGAACGGAACAACGCCTTTTGGATGTGACCAATGAGACCAAGAGAGACGATGGCGCTACATTGCGCCGTGACGTTCGCGTCCAGTGAAGAGTCTCTGGAAATCAGTGCACGGGGGGGAGGGGGGGCTGATGCGATAGTGGACGCACGCAGGGATCAGAGCAAGTCAAGAGACGTGTAGGCGAGCATGACGAGATGGCCTCTGGCGGCGTGGGCTCTCCAGGTAAATGTTCGCCTCCGTTGCGGCACATTGTACTAAAGAGCTCTCTGTACATCCTCGGTGTGCACGGGTGGGAGCTGGTGTGTGTGTGAGAGCATGCCACCTTGTGTGTGTGGTGCCGTAGTGTAGGGATGAGTGCGCTTCCCTACGAAGCCGGTCACCCGAGCTTAAATCCCGCTCACGGCCAACACCAGCGACAATTATCTGAACCGGTCCTGGGCCTCTCACCTAGGTCGACTCAGCCTCAAATTAGTACCTGGTGGGGTGTGTAAACATCGCCACTTGGGATACAAAGGCGGTCAGGAGTGGTGCTGACCACCCGCCCCCTAGTATGCCTTCCCCCAACAGTTTGTTTAGGCTATACAGGGAGTCTTTATCTTTGTATATGTGCAATCACAAATACCTTTTAAATTCCATAAAAATTTACTTGAGGCACCACTCCTATCACCGTCCTTAGGGGAAAGAACGGTGACCCGATATCCGACCTCCAGGAACAGGTATACTTGTTTACAGAGCATCTCTGTGAAGTAATGCCATGGGGTAAGGTGTGGACGTCTCTGCTGAGGCTACCGTGCCTCGAATATTGGAAGAAGTATCCACTCCCTGTGAGTTGCTGGCTGAGGTGCCATCTTTTGAGGAAGTTAAAACGGGCGCTTCAGAACCTGAGGCCAGGAAAAGCACTGAGCACAGATAATCTCCCAAGCGAAATGCTGAGGGAGGATGGTGTCCGTATGCAGACTGCCCTGTATAACATCATCACAAATGTCTCGACCACAAGACAGGTTCCGCAGGATTGGAACGATGCCCTGGTGTTCCCCCTCTTTAAGAAAGGCGACCGTAGTGATTGTAACAACTACCAGGACATCTCCTTCCTCGGTGTGCCAGGAAGCATTATTTAACATTGCTTTGCCAGGCACGCTGAGGAGAGGCTTGACTCAATGCGGTCTCAGACCGTGGCGGACCTGCACAGATGCTATATTTTCTGTCTGCTGCAGCAGAGGTGGAGGGGATTTCAATGGGACCTACCTCTTCGGTTTATTGACCTGGTTAAGGCCTATCATATCATCAGTAGGCCAGGGCTCTGGGTTGTTTTTCCTGCTTTTGGGGTCACTGACTCTATGCTCATAATCATTACGGACCTTCATGATGGTGGGCAGACCCAGGTAAATTTGCGTGGCTGGGAAGTCCGTGTTTACGTTGGGGTGCAACAGGGATATCCTCTGGCTCCCATATTATTTAACACATTTTTTGAACACGTAGGTCAAGAAGCTTTCCATGGCTGTACAAGAGTCATTTCTATCTGGTACAGATATATTTGGAGGCTGATCGATGCCCGAGTGCGGCCAAGGGATGGATCCCTATTGGTCAACCTCAGTGTCGAGTCATATCTGAATCGATCCCGAGCCTCCCCAAGGTCGACTGAGCCTGAAATGATGCCTGCTATGAATCTGTCAATATCAGCACAGGGGGAGAGGGGGAAGTGTCGGAGTTGCTGGCCGCTCGACCCGTCAATCACGCGCGCCTTAATAGATGCTCGCTAACAGCGTACATCTCGTGTAAAGAGACGTATAAATCCGCACATTGACACAAAGATTGACGTTTCGGACAACGATCTTGAAACAAAAGTTTCTACTCGTGAAAAAAAATCGGAACAAGCGTGTTGTTTGCGAGCACCCTATAAGTTATGCAATGGCAACGAAGAATGTTTGTAGCCGGGCTCTTTAATCAGCTGTGATGTGTGTGTGTTTGGCACGCGCGCGCTGTAATCTGTTATGCAGGGAGGAAGGAATGCGCTGTGATTTAAATCGATCTTGATCGTAAACAAAAGAGGCACGGACAGCTTCCGAACACTCGCAGGAGTGCACTAAATTAACGGTAGAGTCTGTGTGGCCTAATTTGGTTTACCCTGGTGCGGAACGGTCGATAATGAATGCGACCAAATTCAAGCGAACCGCGCCGGACAACGCGCGGGGTACGAACATTTATTTACACGCCGCACGAAGTCGTGGGACGAGCGGAGCGTGCGCTCTTTTTAGTTTCACTCCTAGACTGGAGCGTATTATGCACGCGGTGTTTTGAAGCATGCAGCTTGCTCCGGTGGGAATCTTGTGACAAGCGTGCCGGGAGAGAATCGCGCACCAGTTCCGCGAATGATCAAAAATCGGACACGCGCCCAGCGCAGCCCCCGTACGCGCCCCTGCACGCAGCGGCGTCTGGAGACCTCCGTGCTCGTGTCAGGAGCGCGCCCAGGCGGACGGCCGTGGTGGTGCAGGCTGCTGAGGCTGACGCGGGTCCTGTCGGGTCGGTGTGTGTGGGTTGGTCGGTGTGTGGGTCGTGTGGGTTGGTGTGTGGGTCCTGTCGGGTCGGCGTGTGTGGGTTGGTCGGTGTGTGGGTCGTGTGGGTTGGTGTGTGGGTTGGTGTGTGGATCCTGTCGGGTCGGCGTGTGTGGGTTGGTTGGTGTGTGGGTTGGGGTGTGGATCGTGTGGGTTGGTGTGTGGGTTGGTGTGTGGGTCGTGTTGGTTTGGGTGTGTGTTGGTATGTGAGTGAGTGGGCTGGGTGAATCAACGTCCAATGACAGCATTCACACTCCTAAATGAACAATGTGATTGCACTGACATGTTCATGTGCATAATAGAGGTTGCTTTTGGGTTAGATCGCGGAAATTAGTAAGGTTTGTCACCTAAACATAAAACGTGCGAATTAGTTACTACTTAGAGCACTGTGAAGTTTCGCAGGGGATTTCATGCAGCCTCATCAGGCGATTAGCCAGGGTTGTGAAGAAGTCTTCCTCTTCATGGTCATAAATAGAAGAGTGGAGGTGATGTCATCACTGTCAGGTGCGAAGACGGGGGGGGGGGGGGGGGGTTAATGTAGTCATTCAGATTACAATTGATAATTTTAAGAGGATAAAATGCAGTACCTATTATTGGTTGGGTTATTCACAGATATTCATAGCACGTGTTGATGTGTTCATGTTCTATGAATAAGTACATTGCCCAAAACACTGCCCAATTTTATATTATTCATCTTAAGGCCATAGTGTTCTTGACGAATATGTTGACTTTTCTGAAATGTTAATTGTTTTGTGATGTTCTGTAATTGCACAGGAACCCCCATGTCATTCCCAGTACCAGGGCGCATGCCAGCCAGGCTACGCCACTGCAAAGACAAATGTCCCCCGTATAGCCTCAACAGACTGTTGGGGTACGTGCTGTGAGCGAGCACCTATGAAGGCCAGAAGGGCACACGAGGGGGTGGGTGACCACGCCCGATCGCCTTTGTCGTCCCTAGTGGTGATGTTTACACACCGAACCAGGTACACATTTAAGACTTAGTCGACTTACGGGAGGCTCAGAACCGGTTCAGATCATCGTCACTGGTGTTGGCCGTGAGCGGGAATCAAACCACGGTCGCCAGATTCTAAGTGCAGTCCGCTAACCGCTGCGCTAACCGCTGCCTACGAGCACAATCTCGGGTTGCCGGGTTCGTAGTGCAGCGCGCTAACCGCCACACTACGGCTGCCCCCTGTCAATGCGCACACACACACGTGCGCGCTGTCCCGTGCACCCACCCAACACATTCATCAGGGTAGCCAAACAAACACATATTTTGCCAAACTAAAGTGGTGCTGATGAACAAACGTCATTTGTCATTTGGAGACGACAGTTGGGCGAGACGCTTTGTATAAACTCGGTGATGGATTATGTCACCCGTGCAGAGAGATGATCAACGTGTGGTTCGAGGAGCGTGTGCGACCCGTGGTGAGCGCCGACCGGACCTCCTCGTCCCGCGGAGTGGGGGGTGGCTCCTTGGGCCACGCGGAGGCCACCGGGGCCGGGCGCGCGGTGGACGGGTGCAGGCAGTCCCCTCCGCGCAAGATCTCGGCCTCCGAGTTCGACCGACCGCTGCGGCCGCTGCTCATGGAGGACCCAAGCGATGGCTCGCTCACGTTCGTCCTGGGCACGGAGGCTGCTACCCCGAGGTGCGGTCCCCCAAATCGCCCGGCTGTGGTGCAGTCCCCAGGGTCGCCCAGCTTCGGGAAATATTGAATGTATAACTGTTTGATCTAAATATATAGTTTTTTTTATTGTCGAATATTAAATGCATCTGCATGAGACATATATAGTTAAGTATTATTTATGAACGCATTTACATTTATTAAAATGTAAACAATGGCCTATGACTGCCCCTCATGCTCTCCTGCGGGGACGCCCGTGTCCTGAACTGTGAGTGAGATGGTGGACCGTTAATTTGGGGGCGTGTGGTGATGGCATTTGTGGTTGATAGTGGCAATGTTTATCTTGGTGGTGATTATGGTGACGTTGGTGACATTGGTGATGGTAGCACTGTGAAGGTGGTTATTATGGTGATGTATGCAGCAGCAGCAGCACCCAGAGGATCTAGTTCATGCTGCGCTCGCTACCTGCAGATCGTGGTCGTCCCCCCAGCCGCACGCGGAGGCCTCAGACGTTCCCGGGAGGGCCGCGTCGGGCTGCGTCATGGCCACCGCCGCCGTCGCCACGGCGACCACCGTGAGTGCGTACGGCGCCGGCTCGGCGCGCTCCGTCTCGGGCGAAAGGGAGCGCTTCCTCGAGCTGGTCAAGGACATCGCCTGCCGCCTGGACGTCGTGACTCTGTGCCACCGCATCCTGCTGCACGTCAACCAGGTCCCCGCAGCATCTGGAGAAGCCACCCGAGTTTAGAGGGGGAAAGAGATGAAGCAGTGGAGGTTACAATGTTTTTAGTTATTTTGCACTTAATTCCGTTGGGTAGATGTATTCAACATCTCAAACTACGCGATCTAGCCCAGAAATCTGTATTATGGATGATTTTGGTCGCGAAAGCCTACGTGTTAAACTACAACTGGATTTGCAGAATTACTGTGAACAGTTTTGATAATTTTATAAAGTATTGTCATCAAAACTCCAAGCCAATTTATATCATTGTATGAAAAATAAGAATAGGTTTTACCCTTTCTGTCAATAAAACAGGAGGTGTAAAGATGTTCAAACACCAAATAAAAACCTTTTCCAAGGAATAAAGTCTGCATTATCCACACACACGCAGTACTTGTGGTGAACATGCACACATTTGGTCAGCTTTGGCAAACACAATTTATATCATCTTTGCACTCTGGGCTGTGTGACCCGAGTTTCATACCCGGCCACAGCTGACATAAGTGGCGAGTGACATCTGAACCGGTCCTGGGCCTCCCTTAACTGATCTACATTGACCCGCATTGCAATTATAATCACGGGGAGACCATTGACAAAGAGATTAGTTCTTTAGCATCCAAAAAAAATCTGCTTCCAGTCTGGCCAAAGCTATTTGTTATCATGGTTGCTGAGCAGAGCCAGCAGCAGACAGCAAAATATGTTTTTTCAATTAAAAAGTTACGAAAAATACAGCGTTGTTATGTTCGTGCCGACGCGTTGCGCCATCCCAGGTGCTGACGGCCGACCGCTGCTCACTGTTCATCGTGCGCGAGGACAGCTCCCAGGAGCGCTGTCTCGTGAGCACCCTCTTCGACGTGTCGCTCGGCTCTACGCCCGAGCAGGCCCGCACCAGCTGGCTGCGGCTCGCCTGGGGCAAGGGCATCGTGGGATACGTGGCCGCTACGGGCAACGGCGTCAACATTCCCAACGCCTACCAGGTAAGAGCGGTCCTGGCACGGCGCCGGGGGCGGGGGGTGGGGGAGAGGTGGCTGGGCCCTGCACCGCCAAATGTCACTTTTGGCCCAACCCAAGTTCACACTCCTCCTGAGCGGTGAATTGCTGTCGTGATAGCCCACGCAACAGGGGGGCGGTGGTGAGATATTAACTACCTCGCCTGGTATGCAGGAGGTCATGGGTTCGATCCCGACCCCGACCCCGACGCCAGTATATTTGGAGTTTCCATGTCTCTCTCCATGTGGTCACGTGGATTTTTCTCCGGGTCCTCCGGTTTTTCCCTCCACATATAGAAACATGCGTTTAGAGTATTTGGCTGCTTTAAATTTCCACATGATAAGCCACTTTGTTGTACTATTATTGTTTGTGGCCAGGTTGCTTCTGGGAAAGAGCTCAGTGGGCCCTACTGGGTAAAATAAAAATTTGTTTAGTTTTTATAGTTTTAGTAACAGCTTGGTACATTGCCAGGGCTTGGGTGACATCTCGCTCGTGCCCCTGCTGGGCAGACCGAGAAGGGGGAGGGGAAATTCTGTCTGCCTTGCTTGGTGCCAATTCTTTGGCTATAGCATCACGCGAAGAGTTGATGGGATCAGATACATTCTGGGTGACTTTGTCATCGGCTAAGCTAAGCAGGTTAGTACATGGACCAATAAAAAATGTATGTCTATAGAGCGCAGTGTGCAAGATAACCAAAGCGCTGGTACAATAATGATGAAATCTAAATTTAAATACAACTCTTGTTGTGATGTGCGACCACCATGTATGACAGGTGTTATATGACTTTAAGCTATATGGTGGGCAGCAGAGAGCAGTGCAGCAAAATCAATTGTTGCACTGCACTTCTGTGCTTCCACGTCTATGCTCCCCACTTTCGCCAACCTGCGCTGACCAAAATAGTGAGGTACGATCAAATAGATCCCACGATCCACACAGTACGGAGAGGCCCCCGTCTAGCAGTGTATTGACAAAGTGCCGTTCATGTCCATGTGTAGCATTAGACTAGGTTGTGGAAAGCTGCGAGTTCCGGTCTAGAGAGACGGTGCTGTTTGCTCTGTACCGAGGTGCGCCACAGTGGCGAGATGTTAACTACCTCGCCTGGTTTACAGGAGGTCGTGGGTTCGATCCCGGCCCTGACACCTGTATATTTGGAGTTTTGATGTTCCCCCTGTGGTCGCGTGGATTTTTCTCTGGGTCCTCCAGTTCTTACCTCCACATTTAGAAACATGCGTTGAGAGTGTTTGGCTGCTATAAATGTCTACATGATAAGCCACTTTGTTGAGGTATCATTTGTGGCCAGGTCGCTTCTGAAAAAGAGGTGCATAGCTCAGTGGGCCTTACCTGGTAAAATATAAACAGTTTATAACAGAGTTAAATCAAATATGCTCATTCACTTGCACCTTGTTCTACATTTTAAAACTGGGCAAGGATCAACAGTAAAATTGAGCAGAAGCCTTCAGAAGATGCATTATGGGCAATGTGGCATGCAAGATGCGTGACTTTAAACGCAACTCACGAAGGGGTGCCCTGGGAATCGTTGCGGTGTAAGTAACCGTACCGGTAAAGCATCCGTCAGAGAGCACGGAGGAATGCCGATCAATGTGCTGCTTATCCTCTCCACGTTTAGGACCCTCGGTTTAATGTGGAAGTCGATCTAATGACCGGCTACAAGACGCAGAGCGTGCTGTGTTTGCCAATTAAAGACAATAAAGGGGAGGTAAGAGAGCACTCTCACTTATGTGACGATTTTGCCATTTTGAACGAATGCATTTTTTTCTGTGCATCACGATCCATTAGCAGATCACCCGTAGGTGGCCACTGCACATTTCGTCATTTGTTTCCACTTTCCTCTCTGTCTTGTGCAAGTATGCTCCAGTAGTGCCGCATCCCTATGGCACCAATCTCTGATGTCGTCGTAAAGCCATTCTGTGTTAGGTCTTCCTCTATTTCTGGTTCCTTCCATCTTTCCGAAGAACATACTTTTAATTTTCCTGTTGTTGTCCATCCTACATATGTGTCCAAATAGTGTCAGTTTCCGTCTCATCATCACTGCCTGCATCATCAGGTCTTCTTCGACGTTGGTCACTCTTAGGGTCTAGTTTAGATGCAGTATCCTCCTCTAGCAATACATTTCTAGTGTCAATATCTTATCTCTGTCAGTCTTTCTTAGTGTGCAAGTCTTGCAGGCATACAACGCTGTACGGAACATGCATGTTCTTAAGATGTGCATTTTGATCTTGCAGCTGATTTGCTTACTTCTCCAGATGTTATTTATTCCTACCATTACTCCTTTTTGCCTTTGCGATCCTCGTCCTTATGTCTTTCGTGCAGTCGTTGTCCCACGTCAGTAGACTTCCCAAGGATATCATTTTTTCTATGCATATATTAAAATAATAATATATGTACATTGTCTTCTTGGACACCCGGTGCTGCTGTGTTTGTGAAACAGATTGTTGGGGTTGCTCAAGCAATAAACAAGAAGGGGAATAACGAAGGGAAGTTCACTGAAAAGGATGAAAGGGTAAGACTGAGCGCATGACACGCGGAGTGAACCTCATGACTCTCATATTCTTAGGTTTTTTCGGTAAAGTCACGTAGGTAAAAAAATTAAAATTAATAAAAGTAAAATAAAATAAAAATCACGACGTTTCGGAGGCAACACAAGCTTCCGTCTTCAGGTGGAACCGTCACAGCACGATAGCTGTATCAAGTGAGAGAAATTCCAAGAAACAGTATTTGTATATATACTGGTTGAGGGTGGGAGGAGCCAAGGTAGGCCCTGGATATTATTTTTGTGAGGTTCGGTGCGGCTGAAGCACGCTGCTAGGAATGAGCCTTTGTTGTGTAAACTAGGTGCGGATGATGTAAAGGTGCATGTAAAAGGGACTGAACGTTTTTGTTATGTAATAATAATAATAGTACAATTTGTAACGCGCGCAAATTTGCAGACGTAGTGGCCGCAACTCAGAGGCGCGGAGCCAAGCTCAGAGTCGCTCAAAAGCATGATTGTAGAGGTGAGTTTTTAAGTGTCTCTTGAAGGAGGCGATTGAGGTGATGCTGCGAATGTGCAGAGGGATATCGTTCCAGACTGTTGGGGCTGCCACCGAGAAGCGGCGCGTAGACACGGTGACCATCCTGGATCTTGGTATTGAGAGGAGGTCGTGAGTCGCGCTGTGCAGGCATCTGCCGTGTGCTGAGCTGCAAGTTGTCAGTAATGAAGAAAGATGTAGAGATGATGCAGCTGAAATCACTGCCAGGAAATGAGTCTTTGTTGTGTAGAATGGTTGACTGAGCCTATTATTATGTAGAGGTGGTGCGGCTTAAATCGCTGCCAGGAAATTAGTCTTTGTTGTGTAGAATGGTTGACTGAGCCTATTGTTATGTAGGAATGCTCCAAATATGTGTAGTTAAATCTTTTTTGCATGGTTAATAACATCTTTCCAATGATTACTAAGTTTGTACCCATCATCACGGTTGAAATTATGTCTGTGTTTGCATATTTGGATGGCCTCGTGTACAAACCTTTGATGGTAGCTTGCAGAGCACCTTAGTCTCGGAAAAGACAATTTCATAAGAGCCCACAGCGTTGTGACTCTGTGGCAGAGCGCAGTGGCCACTTTTACATTTGCATTGGTTGTAATGCATTTCAGCAACACCACAGTATCGATACTTGAAATGCACATTTACACTTTTACCAAAATGAAACCGATTATCTTATGGTAAAATATCTCTGCGTAAGTGATTTGAGGTTTTATGCCAATGTTTCAACAACGATTTAGTTATTCCTGCAGGCATATGCCAGTTACACGTTTAACATCATTCAACATGTTTGACTTTCCAAATGAGAAACTCAGTTGGTAGGGCAGAATGAATAGGAGGGCATGAGTGTAAATCCTTGCCAGATCGATTAACTTAATTGTCCCTCTGGGGTCAGTAAAATGAATACGTCTTGGGAAGGCTGCACTACTTCATTATATGTCCTATGGACGACTGGTCCTTGTCATAGTACTGCAGAATTTCCACCGCTAGCTTCACGACTGTTGGTGTACATGAACGCCGACTTTTGAATTCACTGAAGCGGCCCCACACCGACTCCCGCTGTGTGCGGGTGACTGTGGTGGCTCATACAGCGTCTCTCTCTCTCCCGTTCGACGTCGCCTCGCCCAGGAGTTCGGGGCCTACTTGGCGTTCTGCGGAATCGTGCTGCACAATGCGCAGCTGTATGAGGACTCGCTGCTCGAGAATCGACGGAACCAAGTGAGCTCTCCGGGCTTTCAGGGATTAAAACTATAAAACGGAAGTGGCATTGGCCAAAACATTACCTGCAAGTTGCTAAATTGGGATTACTCACAGCAGCGACATAGTCCCCTACTTCGAAGGCTTGGCAGGACCCTCCTGGCAAACGCGTCTTTGAACTCAGTGAAGCCTAACTGTCAAGCACAATTATAATGAATAATAACTTGGAGATTCCTGGCCAAGGTGTTGTGGTTTTCCACGGTGCCAGTAGTGGTGTAGCATGGTCGGCATGGGCCCTGGTGCAACGTCTCCCCCCTCCTTCGTATGCGGGCGCCTCGGTCGTTGGAGCCGATGGGCCCTGCTGGAGCCGCATGGTTTGCACAGTTGATGGTCACAGCACTGGATGCCGGTGCGTGGGGCGCAGTCCAGCGTGGTCGCCCGTGGTGGCGGTGGCGGTGTCAGTTTGTTTTTTGGCGTGGAAAATGGGCTGCACCACGTGTTCAGGTGCATGCACTTAACACACCATTTTCAGTTGATTTAACATTTTCAAAAAGGCCACCCAATACAAAGCTTTGCAATACAAAGCTTTGTATCGTTTGAATGTGTGTGTGCACGTGTGTGTAAACTAATTGTGGGCAGGCCTGTATTGTCTGTGAAACATGAGCATCGTGCTGCTGCAATATAACGCCACCCACCCATTCATTACCTAGTTACCAGGTCGTTTAGAAAGGGAGTTCGTTTTCTGTTTGCCTCTGCACCGTTTGTTTGAGGGGTCTTTGTATAGAGTGGAGACCGCCACTATACCTGGCCAGTTTGTTACAGCACCTGGGCAGAAGCTCTGTAGCGCAGCGAGTGCGGGTGATAGCGTGCAACATGGCACAGGTGAAGGTAAGATAATCTTTGATGGTCATATAACCTTATAATTCTAAATGTATCATTTGTTTGTACTTAATGCCTTTAAATCAATTACTGAATATGCATAGTTTGGGGGAAAATGCCAAATTTTGTCATTAAAGCGTATGTATTATTTCTCTGAATCACTCGTATTGTTATTATTATTATTTTTCCAGGCAACTGCATCATTCGCACTTGAGCGTATGACAGTAATATTTCAGTGAATTAATATGTGCGAAGGGGAAGTATATATTCAACTGCTGCCACTGTGGATATATTCTGACATACATACATCTTGCTACATACATATTTGAAGGCACTTTTTTAAATCACGGGGTTGAGCAGTTGTGCGGTGGTTATTGCACTGAGCCACGAACCCGACGATCCGATGTCGCTTCCCGACTGTTGCCAACGTGAACCATTCCCCCCGCGCCCTCCGCCCCCGCCACCAACCCGTGGTGAAGTATGGTCAAACACCCCCCGTGACCGACACGGTTTTGGGAAGGCCTTCACACTTTCATCGTATAGCGACGTTGCCATCTCGCGTAACGGAATCGTTGCGCTCGCCCGAACGTGCCGGCCCCGCGCCTCCGCCCAGGTGCTGCTGGAGCTGGCGAGCCTTGTGTGCGAGGAGCAGAGCTCCCTGGAGGAGCTTGTGGGCAGGATCATCGACATCATCCTCTCGTTCATGCCCTGCCAGCGCTGCGCTGTGTTCATCGCCGACAAAGACTCGCCCAACGTAAGGTCCCCCCGCACGCCCACGCCAGGGCCCCATACGACCCATACACGCTTGTGGCTCTTGTGCCAATGCACTGCTGGATGAAAGCCTCACCCAAGGTTGTGCAATTGCTAGGGGTTATTTGACCAAACTATACATTTACGAACAATACCAATGACTGATTTACCCAGAAAAGCCACACCAAGTCCTACTACATTGGTTTGGCAATTGCCATTGTATACTGTACTTGTATACTGTATAAGTTGTCAACAACAACAAACTCAGCACATATGTCAACATTGCGGCATTATATAATTGGCGATGTTTCTGGTAATGGGCCTTCACAGTGCATGAATAGAGAGCGCAGTGGAGAGACAGTGCGGATGATAAGAGTTGGAGGCTGTTCTTGCTTCCACCATGCGGCCTGATGAGAATGACATTATAAAAAAAATTAACTGTTTTCTGATGACGAGTATTTAACAGACAAACCCTTCAATAGTCACCAAATAATTTGTATAGTTGTAGATAAAAAAAAAAAAGTCGTGTATCATTACTTGCCTGCCGTGTATGTGTCACTCCATGCCCCGGACACCCTTGCAATTGAGATGTCCCAGCGTTCAGGATTATCTGGGCGAAATTTTTAAATAAAAAAACAGATAATTTATCACGCACTGGCCAGTGAGGTTTAGTGAGGGCGGGGAGCATCGCCGCGTGAACACGCATGCACTGTGCGACGATGGATTCTACTGCCCTGCCCTCTACCCCCATACCCAGTCAACATTTGAAATGATGTGCTCGCGTGTGATTCATTTATTTAGTTTTCCCTATGGTTTTATTGTCATAAGAGATCGCCCAAAAAAATGTGTGAATAAAAAGCACTGCCTCCTGCGCTCTGGGGCTGCACACATCTTGTCCGTATTAGAACCATCAATAACAAAAATCTCCAGCTTGGATCAACCACACGTGGATAATCGAGAGTCTGTTGTAGCAACATAGCCCCCTACTGGCAGACTGGACTCGTCTGGCAAATTCAGTGCCTTCGTGATAGCCTCGTGCCCCGTTTTGTTTCAAAAGTGTTCTGGGTGGTGGCAATGGTCGAAACGAACTCGCAACAGACAGGCAGCAGAATGAGTCTCCAAGAAGAACGTCGGTGTTCATGATGGGTGCAGATCTTTTCCAGGGTATTTCACAAGAGCCTCGAGGTGCCCGGTGTTGCAGAAAACACCTCTCAAAGGTACAGTTTGCGTTGTAACACAAATCGGTACTCGGTAACTAATTGCAGCTCGGCCTGGCCGGAACGCTGCTGCTGCTGCTCCGCAAATTATTCTAGCGCCCCCCCCCACACATCCAACACAACGGCGATGTCGCAGCATTACATTTTTGTTACAAACTTGTTCATAGGATGATGTTAATTTATGGTACAATAATCAAGGATTGTTATTATGATGAAGCATATCTTGTTATTTAGCAGTGGTGCCTTGTGCCAAGCCAGCCATGCAGCGTTCCGGTGTGACTTTAAGCACTGGGGCCGTCCATAAATGACATCACGCACCTAGAGGCGGGGGGGGGTCAGACATTTGTGACGATGTGTGACGAGAGGGGGGGGGGGGTTGAGAAATGTGACGTCACATCAAAATGCGCAACTTTAAATAAATTTAGACAACACGTTCTACATGATTAAATCGACTTTTTAATAAATGTTTTCTCCTGCAACATCAGAGTGCAGCTCCACATTAAATACGCACTACAATGACAATAGTTGACAGCGATTTGAAGCATGTTTAATTTTGGGGGGGGGGGGAAGAGCTTTGTGACGTCATATTTGAGGGGGGTCTGACTTTTTGTGACGCTGTGTGACGAAGGGGGGGGGGGGGGTCAAAAATCGTCCAAAACCTGGACTTGTTTCTGACATGACTTGCGTGTTGAGAGTGGACGATATTGCACGACGCTTGATTGAATGCGTTCCCATCACGTTGTGCTCATCAGTTCGTCACTTCTCCCTGCCTCCGCCTTCCCTGCAGTGAAAGTCGGAGTCACCCGGTGAGTTTTATCTACGCCGAGTTTGTGATGAAGATGCTCACTCTCCTCAACATTGCAGACGTGCATCGTGACAACCGGTTCAACCTCCCCGTGAGTACAGCCGGTTTCCCTGATCCCTAACGCAGATGGGGAGGATTCGCTTCCTTTCGTTTGACGCTCAGGGATGTCCACGTTGTTTGCTGTGTTCAAGGGTGAGGAGAGGGGAAATTACAGGACGAAGAGTCTACTTTGTGCTCCGATACAAAACCGGAAAAAGAACGAAGTCATTGGTGAGTTCACGTGGCCACGAACGAGCACACGTTGCCCTTGCAACTGCTGTGTGCACACATGCGAGTGTATATGAAACCATACAAGAAATAGTTTCACTCAAATGTACTTTACAACGTACAGTCTGTTCTCCTATAGCGCGAGGGTTGCGTTCCTGAAGAAACATCGCGGCGTTGTAACAAATATATAATACAGGGTCAAGCGCAGTCCGCGATAACACGTGACATGCGTACGCATATAAGCATTCAGCAGCATCTCGCCTTGTGTGATGGTGCTACGCCGAAGCAGCCGCACGACCACTCGTTCCTACTCGCGTGATGTAGTTATGTTCACTCGATCGCGTTATATCCAATTTGCATCCGCGTTATGAAAAAATGTGTTCCCTAATACAGTCATCGCGTTTTATCCAATTTGTGTTATGAAAACACACTCTATAGGGGATATTATAGAAACACTGACAGAATATATGAGATCCGGCCAGGTGGCTCAGCGGTCGAGTGTGTGGCTCGCAGTCGGAAGGTGGCGAGTTCAGATCCCGGTTGGGGGGATCACTCAGTCCATCCCAGTATAGGGTCAATAAAATTGGTACCACTTTGTGTGGAACTCAACTGTGGGATTGTCCTATGGATAGACTCGCCCCTGCCATATCTCATCAAGGAGCATAAACAGTCATGCGAAATCCAGTCATGCTCGCAGCAGCTTTTGGCTTGCCATCGAACAAAGACGGTCACCTGCATCATGCGCTTTCAGAACGCTCTTCCTTTTGAGATTAGGAAGCCACTGGAGCTATGCACTTATGTTGCACACTCGAAATGAAGGACGTGGGCAGGTGCTCCAAATCGAGGGCAAGCACATTTATTGTGGTTAATATTAATCTTGTGAAGAACAGCACCGTCACTCTGTAAAATGCACCAGCACGTGTCACACGGAGCAATTCTTCCGAGTCGCCATTAACCATGTGGCTGGTTTACACGTGCGGTTACTTTAATCCTAAGCTGTATGTCTATCTATACCATCCACTTATATTGGTATCGGACGCAACTGTACACAGGGGACGGCTGGCGATGCTTCGCGGCGTCGTCCTGTGCCGGGACTCTCACCGTTGGCATCCCCCGCGTGCGCCCACAGGCGTGTGCCAGCTGGTGAACAAGCTGGAGGAGGGCGCGAGCGAGGTGCGCCCCTTCAACCGCAACGATGAGCAGTTCGTGGAGGCCTTCGCCATCTTCTGCGGCATGGCCATTCGTAACACTCGCATGTACGAGGCCGTGGCGCGTGCCGTGGCCAAGCAGACCGTGACGCTGGAGGTGGGTTTCGACTCCAGACAAGGGCGCCTCTGTGTGTGTGGAGTTTGTGTATTCTTGCCCTGTTCTGTATGGCATTCCTCAGGTTTAGGGAGGCCTTTAGCCCAGCTGTGGATTGACCATGGCTGATGACAATGATGATGATCAACAGCCAAAGCCATTCGGAGCTTGGGGAAGTATTTGTGCTTTAGGTGCCTAAGCAACTGAATGTGGGTGGCTGGGTGGCAGGGTGGGGCAATGGTAACACTTTTGCCTCGCAGCAAGAAGGGCCTGGGTTCTATTCCTGACTCAAGCACCTTTCTGTGTGGAGTTTGTTCTCCCTCTGTTCTGCAGAGTGTGACGCAATGTGTGAGTGAGTTTATGTGTGCGAGTGAGTGTGTCAAGGCCTATATACCATCAGTAGGCCTGGGCTCTGGGTTGTTCTTTGTAATTTTGGAGTCCCTGACTCTCTGCTCACAATCATTAAGGACCTTTATGATGGTGAGTCGGACCGGAAAAAAACTACGTGACCGGGAGTCAGAGTCATTCCCTGTTTACCTTGGGGTGCGACAGGGATGTCCACTAACTCCCACATTATTTAACATCTATTTCGATCACGTAGTTCGTGAAGCCTTCGATGGCTGTACCAGAGGAATTTCCATCTGGTAAAAATACAATGGGAGACTGATCGATGCTCGGGTGCGGTCAAGGGATTGCTCCCTATTGGTCAACCATGTTATGTATGCCGATGATCTGGTAATTGCTGCTCAATCGGAGGAGGAGTGGGAGGTGTTGCTGCTGAACCTGGAGCGTGCCACTAAGGGGTGGGTCATTACCATCAGCCCCACCAAAACTAAGCACCTGCCTGGGTATTTTGTACCATCAGACACTCCACCCCCACAACTGCCAATGGCGATGGGGCAGTTGTGGAGAGAGTGGAGAGTTTTCCATACCTGGACAGTGTGATCATGACTGGCTCCAGTTTGACAGTAGAGGTCTCACTCCGAATCAGTCGAGCTGCGTAACGCTGTGTGGAAGCTACCTGGTCTGTCGCTCCACATGAAGCTTCAGGTCTTCTCGGCCACGGTAATGCCCTCCCTTATCTACGCTTGCAAAACGTGGAACCCCCCCCTTATGGAACATCTTCACCAGTTATAAATATTTAGGCTGGCCTGCCTACGATCCATCTTGGATTTAACCATGCTGGATTGTGTGAGGAGCTTACAAATATTTGAAAGATCTGGACAAAGTCCTATCGGTGAGCTCCTCAGGCAGGCAAGGCTGCGTTGGCTGGGTCATGTAGCCCGCATGCCCAGCCACCGCATTCCTAAACAGCTTTTGTTCAGCCGGATAGAGGGGGCTAAACGGGCGTGGCACGGGCTAGAGAAGAGATGGAGTTTTGTGCTACAAGAGGATGTGGAGCTGAGTGGAGTTGCCGATGACTGGTACCAGCGGTGTCAAGATCAGCCTTTGTGGAGGCTCGTGAAAGATGCTCCTGGGCAGTTAGAGGCAGTCACCCTCCAGCAATAATGGAGGGCAGAGGAGCGATGCTCACAACTATGAGCGGAGCGCCGGGTGGCTAAAACACAGTAAGTTGGCACAGTAGGGGGCACAGGTCGTGCATCGGCCAGTCATCTCAGTCAGTTGACCCATGGCACCTGGGTCTACCCCGTGACCTTCTGCCAGTGGGCCGTCGATACTTCACGTGGCCATAACGTGCACATAGCCTGGCACAAGCGCCGTGGTGACGTCACCCCACTTAGTGGTGAATGGCGGCTGTTGTTGTTTGGGAGTGGTTGTATAGGAGTTCGAATATTGCACTCCCAACCCAGTGACCCGAGTTCGATTCCTGTGCATGGTCAACACTAGTGACGATTACCTGAACCGGTCCTGGGCTTTCCCTAGGTGGATTCGGCCTCAAATGAGTACCTGGTGCGGTGTGTAAACATCGCCACTGGGGAGACAAAGGCGGTCGGGCATGGTTCTGGCCACCCACTCCCTCATGTGCCATTCCGACCTCCATAGGTGCTAACTCACAGCACTTGCCCCAACAGTCTGTTTAGGCTATAGGGGGATATTTGTCTTTATGTGTGTAAGTGAGCATGTGGGAGAGTGTGGAGTGTGTATGTTCTCCTGTTCTGCATAGCCAAAAATAGCGGACAATGTAACTGGTATTGGCCAAACATACCGAAGCTGAAATAATTACCCTGCAAATTACTCAATTGGGATCACACACAACAGCAAGATGACCCACGAGTGCCAAAACCTGGCAGGACCCTCCTATAAAAAAGCCTTGAGACTCGATGAGGCCTTTCCTGGGTAAGCGACCTTATTAATAATGAGAATAAAGTAGTTGTAATGGTAGCGGTATTAATGATACGTAGCAGTCATTGCATCCTGCAGTCATAGCAGTAACGTATATGCTGTGTTTGACTCCAGGTGCTGTCATACCATGCCACAGCCCACGAGGACGAATGTGCCAAGCTGCAGGTAATGAACCCAGATCGCCGTGCAGCTCACATGCACATTTACCAGCATTTAGTAACTCAACTGCTGGATGAGACCCTCCCGCCTGCCATATGGGTCATGGGGGTGAATTCACCACACGTTAATCAACGCGGACTGGTGAAGACGCAGAGCAAATACATGCAGGAGCAGAGCTGTACATACAATAATTTAGCTGCATTGCCTTCTGCTGCCCACCTGGTAGCCGCCACCTATATCTCCTGTTATGCACGGTGATCACGCATTCAAGTACTATCCTGGTTTAGCCCCGTTTAGCTTCGAAGATCCGATGGGATATGGGCACATTTAGGGTGATTTAGTCGTAATGTCCCAACACCTCACGTTTAAGTGGGCATCCTGTGGATGGACTTGCCACCATAGGAATGTGGAATGTCTAGTGCTGTCTCGGGCCTGTAAACAGGAAGTGAGTGCCGCCTCTGTGCTCATTTGCGCAGGAAGTCACCGTGGCTTTGACTGTTCCCGTGCAGGAGCAGCAAGTCAGTTGTTCTCCTCTTGATTCCCGCAGACGACGTCGGTGCCTTCGGCCCAGTCGCTGAACCTCCAGGACTTCACCTTCAGTGACTTTGGTATGGCGGAGGAGCTGACTGCCGTGGGCTCCCTGCGCATGCTCCTGGACCTCTCGCTGCTGCAGACGTTCTCCATACCTAACGAGGTGGGCGTCGCTGCGTTTTGCAAGCCGCACGTTCGTTTTCGCAGGATGTTCTGGATAGAAGAGGTCAGGGGGCAGCCCTGCGATGGCTTGCTCCCCCACCACTGCTGGAAAAAGGGCTGCAAGGTGAGGGAACGCCATTGAGCAGTGGTTCTCAACCGGGGGGTACGCGGACCCCTGGGGGTACGTGGCAATGTCCCAGGAGGTACATGAGGCAAATTGTAAATGTGTGAAATTATATCATACATGAGAGTCATTGGTTAATGATCATGTATGAATTTGCCAATATAAAATAACAACGATAACATTTAAATCAATATGGTAACCGAGCACGATACAGAAGAATTTTCTAAACTCGCTGATTCCAAGAGTTACCAGCGAGTTCGAACAAATTACGTCACGCGTGCAGAGCATCTGATAATTTTTTTTTCACTTGCAGTTACAAGCTAGTTAGGATGCCATGACAAAATGGACAGTTGGTTAAAATATCGATGTGCATTATTTATACGTTCCTTTCTCAGAACCACATTGGGTCGGATACAAAATTCAACTAGGAGGTCACAGGAGTCGAAAAATGTTGAGAACCACTGCTCTAGAGAACCCCTGCAACAGATGGTATCTTGGCCTCCTCTGTTACAGCTGCCCGAACCCCTGGTGGTGGGAGTTACCCACACTCTACCTCAGCGCGCGCGATCTGACGATCGACATTTATACCGCTGGGTGGACAGAGGCGGTGGGGAGCATTTAGTAAAGTTATGCCGTTGCGTCAGCAGCCGTGCCGAGACATGGAGTCGAACAGGAAACTTCTGGATTACAAGTCGAGTGCGCTAAACATTACACCGCGACAACATCCACTTTACATCCCATCTTCAATGTTGTTCTTCCTATACTCGTTTGTTTTTATAGGAGCAGCACGTACTTTCAGAGACAGCTTCGTTATCATTTTTGGTGGATATTTTAACATATATCACAAAGGAACTTGTAAACTCAACACGTGATTATTATCAATGCCCAGACTAAGTAAACGAAGGGAAAGATCTCTTATACTTTTGGCAGGGAGCATCATGTTCAGTGTCACAGCTACCACTGGCTCCGTACTTACGAGTCATCAAACAAGGACACTGCACTGCGAGCCTCGTGATAATTTTACGAGTCTGAATGCGAGAACGTGCATCAAGAATATGAAAAGAGACAATGCCGACATGTAACTGCGCAATGGCACCCACGTGTTGAGTGCATGTGAAACACTTTTACTTCCAGTGCGTAAAACAAACAAAAACATATCTCAACCTCCCTTCAGGTCGCTTGCCGATGGATTCTCAGCGTCAGAAAGAACTACCGGAGGAACATTGCCTACCACAACTGGCGGCACGCCTTCAACACGGGCCAGTGCATGTTCACTGTGCTCACGACGGGACAGGCTCAGGTACCTTCTACGTTGGCGCCGGTGTTTGCAGGGGCCGATGCGGTGCAATGTCTCATCCTCGGCATGCGCGCGCGCTCGCACAACGACGCAGCTTGGTGGCTCAGTGAAGCTTTTTGTTGTGACTGTGCAAATGTTTCCGCACGGCGAGTGTCAACAAACGTAGGGGGTTGGGGGGGACGTGAGGCTGTGTCGCTTGCGTGAGTCTTTCAGCCATGGATTTTGTTTTCCAACAAAAATTGCACAATGTTAAAGAGCCTCTCGTCTATTCGGCCCGTTATTTACTTCACGTTACTGCCACTGATGCAATATTATTGGCACTCGTTTAATTCGTGTAAACGGACGTTTCCTGAATCCAATAATAGATGCCCCAAGCAACTGTCACCAGCACCTGGAGTGACACAGTGCATGTTCCGGTAACCTACGCTCTGCTAACGAGTGAAATGTGTTCACTTTTAGTGTCAATCATCTCCATAGTTCCTGATGCACGACTGTGGTCATCCAAAACAGACCATGCAACGTAGCAACGTATTGCACAAACACGAAGGAGACATCACGGCGATACGCTCCGCTGCTCCTGACAACGTGTATTATCTGGCTTGACCACGTACGTGTGTGATTGTCATGTGTGTGTGTGAGAGTGTGGGAGAGTGTATGTTCTCCTCCTGTTCTGCATAGCCAAATATAGCGGACAATGTAACTGGTATTGACCCAACATCCGAAGCTGCATCCACAGCAGCAGCCGTACGAAAGAAGAAGAGGAAGATTTCCAAAGTCAAGAGAGATTTCCCACTCTAATGAGCATTGATGGGCGGTGCTCATCTCCTCTTTACAGCCCTGAGCCAGCAGTGGCATACATTTCACATTCCTATGGCAGGGGCGTGATCTCAGCTGTACCCATAGGATTACCGTTGAGGGATGATGGGCTGAATTATCTCAATTAGCCTGCAACATACAAAACTATTGTTTATTATTATCATCAGGTAAGGTCCACTGAGCTATATCGCTCTTTTTCAGCGGAAACCTGGCCACAAATGATAGCTCGACGAAGTGGCTTATCACGTGGAAATTTATAGCAGCCAAATACCCTGAGCGCATATTGATTATAAATGTGCAGGGAAAAACCGGAGGACCCGGAGGAAAATCCACACGGCCACGGGGAGAAAGACATGCAAACTCCAAATCTACAGGCATCAGGGTCGGGATCGAACCCACGACCTCCTGTATACCAGGCGAGGTAGTTAACATCTCGCCACCTGTACACACTAAGGGACCTTACACACAAGCTGCGTGTGGATTGCGCGTGTACGATTGATCTCACCTGTGCTGAGCGTGGGCAAATAACGAACGGAGCAACGGGCGCTCCCCCCCCCCCCACGCCCGCATCCCACAGGATGTGCTGACCCCTCTGGAGATGCTGTGCTTGATCATCGCCGCATTGAGTCACGACCTGGACCACCGGGGCTTCAACAACTCCTACATCAAGAAGTAAGACCCCAGGGCATTTCTCATTCCTGGAGACTCTGCTACACCCATTTCACTGGGTGGAGATGCTAGGATACTGTGTGACTAAGCCATTGCCTTTAATAAACCTTCATTGTAAATGTTTTTGTTTCATTGCATGTTTTCTTTAGCTATGGGAAAATAGGAGAACCCAGAGGAAACCCGGCAAAACAGGGGGCAAACATACAAACTCCACAGGAAGGCGCCGAGTCGGGAATCGAACCCAGGCCCTTACCACTGCGCTGCTCTGGATTGGCATTTTTCTTATTGAACCAACCACGCAATCCTGACCATCGCTTTCAATCCCAGCCACCCCAGAGCCAGCTCCTACTCACAAGCGAGTATTGAGCCCCAGTCCCTAAACCCAGCAATGCAGCATGGCTCCTGTCGTCATGGCCCTTGTTCTAAACCAACTCACTCAGTGGGGATAATGTCACAAACACAGACACGGGGCATTCTTCTTTTTATCGTGTCCTGCCACCACAGTCGAATGTTTATCCAGGATCAGGCTCATGAGGATGTGGCCAGCTGTGGATAGATCATGGCTGATGATGATGTGGTCCGGTCTGTAGACCTGATAATGGCTCCTTCACATGGTCCGTGTCTCACTGCAGCCACAGCCGTGCTCGCATTGTCAGAGTAGCCCCACTTCTCTTTGCTGGTTGTTGACCTGCCACTCCCATTCCAAGTGTAATAAAAGACTCGACCACGGTGTCTGGCTTGGTGTCCTTTATTCGGTTCGTTTGCTGTCTCCCACACGGCTGTCCTCCTTTGAGACTTTCCACACGGTGCCGACGCTGTTGTTACACCCGTCACCGCTAACAGCCCCGCTGTTGATCTCCGCCGTTCCCGTAGCCTCTTAGCAGCCTCGCTGCTGTTACCCTCACGCAGCCCCCCTGGCTGTACTCGCTGCAGCTTCTCCTTGTGTCGCTCCCGTAGCCTCGGACAGCCTCGCGGCTGTTTCCCTGTCGCTCCTGTAACTCCTAGCAGCCTTGCTGCTGTCTCCCATACACAGCCTCCCCGGCTATACTCGCTGCAGCTCCTCAACCGCTCTCTCTCTCCAGCAGCCCCACTGCTGTCTCCTCCCGCAGCTCCGCTGTTGCTCCCTTAGTTGGTCACCGCTGGCCGACGGCGCCACTCTCCCCTAGCTTCGCCCTACGTGGCCTTACCCTTGCTCAGTCTCCCACTCTCTCCCGTCTCCTTCCGGTTTCCTCCCCTAAGGACCCGAACCTTGCTCCCACGTCACATAACTCCACCTCATCGTGACGTCATATCCGGGAGGTCGCTCGCGCCCGCATTACACCACCCTCCCCCGTAGAGAAAAACCCAGCCGACCTCGGCTGAACAATACCAACCAACAGTAATGCGGGCGAAACCGACCTTGACACACCAAAGGACACCAAGCATGCAATATAACAGTATAACAGTAACAGTAAGAACAATCAACACATCATAACAATCAACGAACGTACAAGAAGCAGGCAATAAATATAACAGTAAGAACAACAATGCAACATAACAATCAACGAAACACAAGGGATTTAAAACATGTGCGGGTCGCCGGCCCGTCCCGGACGGTCGGCGGCCCATCCGCAGAGCGGGAACGTGACGGAGGTCGAGGAGTGACAGGGCGTAATCCTCCTGTCGATGTTGGAGGTCCACCAACGTCCCGTGTCCCTGCAGAATTAGCCCCGGACGTGTCCCGCGACTGTGCCTGCAACGGGGTCGGAAGGGCCGCAGAGCCCGGAGCTCCCGCAGTCCTGGCAGGCACCCTCCGAGCAGGGCTCTTCGTCACCTGCGGCGTCACGGCCGGTCTGTCTGGAACAGGCACAACAGGCGCTCCCGCAAGATCAATGGACGCAGGCATGGGAGAGTCGGCAGCAACAGACCCCGGCAAGGCAACATTAGGAGATGACGCATCATGTAGGGGAGCAACATATGGTTTCAAGCGCGACGTGTGAACAAACCAGCGGCGAGATCCAATATGGACACGCGCCGACTGAGGGTTGGGAACCTCAATGAGGCGGACGGGCCCTTGCCAAGGTTTGTGAAATTTAGGAGAGGTACCCGGCCGCACTTGCGGGCAATGGAGCCAGGCCAGGTCCCCAACCTTCCAGGGGCACTCCCCCTTGGAACGTCGAGCATACCTCTCGTTCTGGGCCTGGGCTTTGGCCGTAGCCGCGCGGGCACTCTCCCGCGCCTCCGAGACCCGGCGAACAGTGTCCCGAATGTAATCAGGGAGTGGTTTACGAGGTCCCCTCACACCGGTTCCCAACTGCACATCCATCGGCGGCACGTTTTCCCGACCATACATAAGGTAAAACGGCGAATAACCTGTGGCCGCATGAGGAGTCATCCGGTATGCCGAAAGCACCCCCGGGATGTGCAGGTCCCAATCCGATTGTTGTTCACTCACCGTATGGCACAGCATGGCAGACAATGTCCGGTTTAGCCGCTCAACCATACCATCCGTTTGCGGATGGTATGGGGACGTCCGTACTTTCTTAGTCCCAAGGCCCGCGCACACTTCCGCCAATAATTTAGAAGAGAAATTTCGGCTCTGGTCCGTGAGGAGTCTCTCAGGCGCACCCTTATCCATAACGTACCCGAACAAAAAGGCGTCGGTAATGGTCGCGGCCGATTGGTCGGGCAACGGCCAGGCCATCGGCCAACGGGAGAGGTACTCGACCCCAACCAGAAAATATTTATTACCCCTCGCCGATGGTGGGAAAGGTCCCAAAATGTCCAGTGCCACCAATTCATTAACCCGAGACACCTGAATTGACTGTATAGGCGGCACATAAGGATGTTTAGGTGGCTTACGTCGGGCACAATCAGGGCACGCGCGGACGTGCCCCACGACATCTGTCGCCATGCCGTGCCAAAAGTAATGACGTTGCAACGTCAACAAGGTCTTCTGCACACCCAGATGTAATAGCGTGTCACAATGGAGAGTTCTAATCAACTCGTATCGCAGGGACGCTGGCACAACCAGACGCCAGCGCTCCTGGAGACCTTCCCTCCACATGAGCAGACCATCTCGGAGCGCGGTTTCCGGTACCCCATCTGTACCCGGACTCCCATTCTCCCCTTTAGATCGCTTCCGCAAGGACAACAACGACTCATCCATCATCTGCTCCCGTATCCAAACAGACCGCGGCAGATTCAAAACCCCGTCAGTCGGCCACGGTTCCATAGGAGCATCCGACTTCTCGACAGCTAACGCCAGCGGCTGAGAGGGGGATAGACTGGGCGTACATTTATGCGTCCCCGACGCACATTTGCAAGGGGAGCGCTGCGGCAATCTGGAAAGTGCGTCTGCGTTGGCGTGGCGCACCCCCTTCCGATGGTGAATTTGGAAGGAAAATTCCTGCAGCGTGTCCAACCAACGCGCCAACTGGCCGGATGGCTGATCCATTTTAAGCGCATATTGCAAGGCCGCATGATCCGTAGACACGACAAAGGAACGACCGTACAAGTACGGTCGAAACTGACGTAGGAAAAAAACAACGGCTAGGAGTTCCCTGCGAGTGACACAGTAGCGGGTTTCCGCGGGAGACAAGACCCGGCTACCATACACCACGACGCGTTCTATGCCCCCTTTAGACTGGGATAATACCGCGCCAATACCTGTGTCACTCGCGTCCGTATCAAGAATGAATGGGCGATCGAAATCGGGATAATCTAATGTTGGGTCCGTAGCCAACAGATCGCGCAGACTCTGAAAGGCCGCCTCTTCCGGCAGTCCCCACGCAAACTTACGTCCCTTACCCGTAAGGAGGTGCAAGGGCCTCGCGATCGTCGCAAAATTCGGCACAAATCTTCGATAATATGAGGCAAATCCCAAAAACCGACGTACATCCCCCACGGTGGCCGGAGTTGGCCAATCCCGGACGCACGCCGTTTTTTCCGGGTCCGTGGACACCCCCTCAGCACTCACGATGTGCCCCAAATAACGGACGGAGCGTTGCAGTAGGTGACATTTCTTTGGTTTGAATTTCAAATTCGCGGAGCGCATCCTCGTGAACACCGTCTCCCAGCCGCCTTAAATGTTCATCAAATGTGCGGCTGAAGACAATAATATCGTCCAAATATATGAGACATGTCTCCCACTGCAACCCCGTCAACACGAGCTCCATCAGCCTTTGAAATGTGGCAGGGGCCGCATTCAGCCCCATCGGAAGGCAGTTGAATTGAAACAACCCCTGCGGCGTACGGAATGCGGTTTTCTCCCGTGAGGGCTCGTCAAGGGGAAGCTGCCAAAATCCCGAAGAGAGGTCCAGTGTAGAAAAGAACTTCGCCCCCGATAATGCATCGAGGGAGTCGTCCATACGCGGCAGGGGATACGCATCTGCCACCGATATCTTATTCAATTTGCGAAAATCAACACAAAATCGCAATGTGCCATCCTTTTTCTTAACCAAAACCACAGGCGCGCCCCATGGGCTGTTAGATGGCGATATAATGTCCGCAGCCAACATGTCTTCCACTGCCCCCCGAACGTGTTCCCATTCGGCGGGACTCATTCGGTGCGAATTCAACCGAATAGGGGCAGCGTCGCCTGTATCAATGTGATGGGAAAGCAACGAGATGCATCCCAAATCCAAATCATTGGAGCTGAACACATCCGAATACGCCAATAACAATTTGCGAAGCGCACCACGTTGATCCACGGACAGGGAAGAATTTCCGTCACATAAGTTAGCAATCCAACGATCATCTGAAGCCACAGGCTCAGAAACACCAGCAACCACCCCCTGGCTATGCGAACAATCCTGAGCCGTAAATGCCATCGTGGCATGTGCCACAACCGTACCAGCCGGGACGCAGACGTTTTCCGCACCCGCATTGAGCACCTGTAAAAACGGTAATTGATCCGGCCGGACGATGGTCTGTGCCCCAACCAGCTCCAATCCGGACGTAATCGAGGCTGACGGAGACAACAAAACCCCAACCGCTCCTAGCCGATCAGGCAGGGGCTTCCGATACCGCAAGGGAATAAGCATCTGTGAGCCAGGTGGGATGTCAACAGATGCCACGGACAGCGCCTGCACTTGTGCGGCTGAAGCAGGTCGCCCCCAGGGCGACGGCAGAAACGAGATTTGACGGCCACTCGGCAGTTCAATACAATTCTCATTAATTTTGATCAAAATAGGCATCTTAGCCAGGAAATCAGTGCCCAATAAACAAGGAACTGCCAAGGACCTTGAAATCAACACAATGCCCGAGGCCGACACCTCCCCAATAGATATTTTAGCGTCCACCTGGCCCACGATGCCCATGCTACCCCCGTTCGCAGCGACGCACGACCCGTAAACCGGACGCACGGCTCCGGGTGGGATGTCCAACAGATGGAAAATGACATCCGAAATAATAGTCGCGGACGCTCCGGAATCGACCAAAATGCGCACGTCCACACCTTGTATAGACCCCGGTACAGTGGACGACCCCGTAGCGGCCGCGACAACCCTCCGTGCCAACTTGCGCCACTGCGTCACCGAGCGACAAGGCTCCGTCGATGGCCCCTCCTCAACAACAACATTTGAATCGCGCAACGAAGGTGATGGGTGAGGTGCAAAGCCTTGCCGGGTGTCTGGTGCGTGCCGACTTGCCTGTTTCGGAGGTTCCTTGGTCGGCTTGTCCGTTGATGAGGCCTCCTGTTGCGGCGGACCCGGGATGCGGGCCCAGCAGTCCTTTGCGTAGTGGCCCTTCCGCCCGCAGCGGAAGCATTCGGCGTCGTTGCGCCGAAGCGCAGGCCTTGCATCCCGCCGGCCCCGTGCCGGTGGTGCAGCGCGCGGGCCCGGCCCGCCGCGTCCCGACCATGGACCGGAGGCGGCCGTCAGCTCCTGAGGGCCCCCCCCATCCGGCACGTAGACCGCCTTCGTAGGGTCCCAACCCAGAGCGTCACCCTCTGCGACGGGCCCCCCCGTCCACGCCGTGACTTGTTTCCACCGTCGGAGGTTGAATTGTGCCTCGAGACATTTTGCCGCCGCCCGGGAAGTGAGCTTCTCATGCCCACACACAGGCATGGGAATCCCAAGATCCCGAGACAGCTCGAGCATCTTGCCCAAGATGAGAGGCTCGAGCAGTTCAGGTGTTGTCTCTGGATATGCGGCCATGGCCAAATCAAGCACCGCACCCCTGTATGCAACGGGCAATTCATCGGGCGCTCGTTGTCGTTGAGCAAATCGCCGATGCGCATCGTCAGGTGGCTCGTAGGCGTCGGCCATTTTTTCAAAAACTCCATATAATGTCTTCTTCTTTTCGGCCTTTCTGGAACGAAAAAATCGAACTGATTCGTCGTCCAGAAGAGTCGGCAACACTTCCAAGGCCTCAGCATCGGTCCACCTCGCCGAACGGACCGCCGCCAAGAATCTGCAGGCGAAAGCGCTCCAATCGCCGCCGATGGCGAATTCCTTGACTGTGGTAAGATGGCGACTCCGACTTCTTTTTACGCCGCCCTCCACCGATGGCTCCTCCGGTGGTAAATTCAAAATGGCGTCGAACCGCGGCGTGGTCAAGACGGTGGTTTCCCGCCGCGGAACGCGCAAGATGGCGGCCTCCTGCCGCGTGGCCGATGGCATCGGAAGCGAAGACAACGTGGCGGCCTGTGGAGCACTCTCAGCTCTCACCGTCGCCGCCTTTGGCGTGACGAGATGACTCAACTACGCCAGGACGTCCTTGAGAGTCTCCAGTTGCTCCGCCATCTGCTGCCATCGCGGATCAGCGTCCGATGTTGTTGGCGGGCCCGACACCACGGCGACATCTTCAACTCCAGTCCCCGTGCTCGTTTCAGCAGGGCTCTCCTCCACCACCCCAGCAGAATCCATGGTTGGAGGGAAGTCGTCGTCGTCGGACGAAGAAGCCAATGCTGGCGCCGGAATAGTTTTCTTTCTCACTTGCTTCGACATGCCGTTGCACTTCCGACACCAATGTAATAAAAGACTCGACCACGATGTCTGGCTTGGTGTCCTTTATTCGGTTCGTTTGCTGTCTCCCACACGGCTGTCCTCCTTTGAGACTTTCCACACGGTGCCGACGCTGTTGTTACACCCGTCACCGCTAACAGCCCCGCTGTTGATCTCCGCCATTCCCGTAGCCTCTTAGCAGCCTCGCTGCTGTTACCCTCACGCAGCCCCCCTGGCTGTACTCGCTGCAGCTTCTCCTTGTGTCGCTCCCGTAGCCTCGGACAGCCTCGCGGCTGTTTCCCTGTCGCTCCTGTAGCTCCTAGCAGCCTTGCTGCTATCTCCCATACACAGCCTCCCCGGCTAAACTCGCTGCAGCTCCTCAACCGCTCTCTCTCTCCAGCAGCCCCACTGCTGTCTCCTCCCGCAGCTCTGCTGTTGCTCCCTTAGTTGGTCACCGCTGGCCGACGGCGCCACTCTCCCCTAGCTTCGCCCTACGTGGCCTTACCCTTGCTCAGTCTCCCACTCTCTCCCGTCTCCTTCCGGTTTCCTCCCCTAAGGACCCGAACCTTGCTCCCACGTCACATAACTCCACCTCCTCGTGACGTCATATCCGGGAGGTCGCTCGCGCCCGCATTACACAAGTGAGCGAGCAAGTGGGTTGATGAGTGAGTGGGTCAGTGAGTGAGTGTGTAGGTGGGTGGGTGATTGAGCGAGTGGGTGGGTTGATGAGTGAGCGGGTCAGTGAGTGAGTGAGTAGGTGGGTGGGTGATTGAGCGAGTGGGTGGGTTGCTCGAGTAGGACCACTTACACACGTTAACTCTTGAGCTACCGAATCTTGTCCAAAGGCTACTTAAACACATCCAGGGCAAAGTGTTCGGCAGCGATGTGTCGCCTTCGTGCATAATATCCGAACGCTACCGCTGCGTGAACTATCACCAACTGGCTAGACACTGAAGTCACGCTCAGCTCGTTGTGCGGTCAGCAGGAGTGACCACCCCCTGGCAACGCTCTACGGACACTCCATGCTGGAGCACCACCACTTCGACCAGTGCCTCATGCTGCTCAACAGCCCGGTGAGAGCACGAGGGGCTTCCGGGGGCACACGGGGGCATGCGGAATTCCCTCCCCCCATCATCTCTTTTGTGAAGCTTGCGTAACCTTGCCCAAGTCAAGAAGCAAACTCCCAGGTATTCTTTGTTTTCCTTATGGCAGGAATGGCAAAATAAAAACGTAAGGTTAATTAGAAACATAGTAGACTCACAAGGAAAAAGATGACGCTTCCATGACTTATACACATAATCGCACTTCCCAATTTCTTAGGTATGCCCAATTCAGAGCGGCCTTGCGGGATAAGGAACTATCTCTGAACCTGACTGCCACCCAAACAACAGAGTGGATCATGGACCTTGAACAAAAAACAAGCTATCAGTCGCCTACGCTATGCTATCAAATCAAGCCTCTGTACCACGACCAAAAACCAACAAAACCTGGTTTTCACTTAATGATGCCACAGTAGGAATTGCCGAAAGAGACAAAATCTGGACTACTACGCTACAAAATCTTCACTCAGTCCCCCTCAGAGAAACCCAATTTAAAGTTCTCCATGGCAATTACTTAACTAACCAAAGAAGAGCCAAATTCGACAAAACAACCTCCCCCAGCTGCCCGAGATGCCCTCTGGACACCCCTAAAACACACAGACGATGCCTTTAGGGAATGTCCAGACATTAACACTTTTTTAAAAAATGATCAATTTAGCTATTTAAACCACATTCACAAAACAAGCATCTCACACTGACCAGAAATGTCCTTATTGAGGTTGAAACCTCAAGGCCTTTCCAGGAAGGCAAATACAATATTCCAAATGTTCAATGTTATGGCAAAACGCACCATTATAGCCAACTGGAAAGAGCCACGCTCCCCCCAACACTGCGGGAATGGGCCCATAAATTTCCAAAAAATGCCGCTCTAGAGCATCTAAGTGCCAAACTAAGGGGCAGGGAGGAAGCTTACCACCAAACACATAACCCCTTCACTACCTCTCCTCCAATGGGCATTGTTTCTTAGAGCTCTCAGAGCTTAGGAAGACACCAGGGTTGTAGAGTTTATTATAACGGTTTATTGAAACATTCGGTTTAGACAGGTTTCCATTGCACTGTAATCCGTAATGTGTTTGGACGGATGTCAACCCTTCTGTCATATCCTCTGTGTACCTAAATCGTTTTGTTTCTAAAATACTTTTGGGAAAAAAATTACATTGTACTCACCGCAGAGAACTGGAACGACACGACCACACTCTAATGATCTCTATTGCCAAACTGTGTCACACGTCCTCCCGTATGGCCTTGTGGGAGCCTTGGTACTGATAAAGCGATTTTATTTGAGCTTTTCGTCCGCTTTCGCTTTGATAGCGTAAATGTACGTCATCGGGAAAGGGTTAATAGTGCTGTTTGTTGCTGGTCGCTTGGAATCGTGGGATATTGGGCCAGCGCTCAGCAACTGTGTTCAAATGAAAACAATGGAACAATGTGATTTCACCATATGTGATGCCGGGTTGGTGCGCGGCGGCGTCGGTGGCAGGGGAACGAGATGCTGAGCAGCCTATCCGTGCAGGAGTACCGCTCGGCCGTGGGCATGATCGAGCACGCTATTCTGTCCACAGACCTGGCCACCTACTGCAAGTACGCACGCACATGCGCATGCACACGTGCACACACACGCAGGTTGGCTCGCGTGTCATGGGCAAACGGCACGCTCGCTTGCACGTACACATCACAATAAGCACCCATCATTAATTGGCTGGAAACGTCTGAAAATAAAAACCCACCTGAAAAAAGGTCCTACGGCTCGGTGTGGCTTTCCTGAATACATAAGTGGAAAGTAGAAATGTAACCACTTTGGATTAACTGCTCAAGAATTCCCAACACAAACATTACTAAAAACAATGTATCTCCCTGCCCAACGTCTCCCGCTCCACCGTTTGCTCACCCCAGCTACCACTGAGACCCTGACCCTTTCCTTCACCTCATCCCAACTCGACCACTGCACCTCCCTCTTCTACCGGCTCCGCACACTCTTCATCTCGAAACTTCAGATGATCCAAAATGCGGCTGCCAGACTTCTGACTCGCACCCATAAATCAGACCTAATTTTATAATCCTTCGACTGGCCCCCAAATCAAACGCAAATCAATTTGAAGATTGCACTCCAATTGTCTTCAAGATCCTCAATGGACTCACCCTTGCTTACCTCTCCTCTCCCATCTTACTCCACTCCCCTCCACGCACTCTCCTACCTCTCCCCTCTCATCTCACTTCATTCCCCTCCACACTCTCTCCTGCCTATCCCCTTTCATCACACACTGCTTCCCTCCACACTCTCCGTTCCAGCGACCAGGTGTGTTTGTTGAATCCCCCAGTTGACCTTCACCAGTGGGAGGTCGCTCATTCTACTCTGCTGCCCCATTCTAGAACTTCCTGTCCTTGCTGTCAACTCCCTGCCCTGTTCAAGTCCACGCTCGATTATTATTTTCTTCCCATGACTGCCTCAACAACAGAAACATCCACACTATCTGTAGAGCATCACAAGTTGCGGTTGCACAGATGTGCTATATAAATACTGTACACATTGTACTGTTATCCTCTAAGTTAGACTTTATCAATGCAATTTGTGACACAAATTTACGTAAACATTTACGCGAGTGGAACACAGGCATAATGCAAATAGGCTTTTCTGATTGGTGCCACCCATGCTCTACCTTGCCAGGAATCGGGGAGAGTTTTTCTCTCTCGTCAAGGACGGAACCTTTAACCTTGAAGATCAACATCACCGCAAGCTACTTCGGTAAAAGCGTAATAGCAGTCTATGTGAGATTTATGAACGTAGAATAAATGCAAATGGGAAAGCAAAGTGAATAAAAGTAACTTTTTTTTATGTCATCAACTTCACATGGTGGCCTCATGGCCGTAAGGTTGTGATACGGTACACGGTAGCACTCAGTGGCACACGGCGCCACATGGTGGCACACGGTGGCACTCGGTGGCACGGGGTGGCACACGGTGGCACTTGGCTGTGATTTATAAATACAAAGAAACTGGTATTGGCCAAAGTAAATCGCAAGTTCACACAGCAACACTGCCCCCTCCTGTGAAACACAAGGAAGGTCTCTCCTGAGAGTCTTGAGACTCGATGAGCCTTACCATGGTAAACAAGCACGGCAAAAATCATAAATGCAGAACTTTAGAGGCAAGGGCTGGTGGCTCACATTAATTTGTGGGATTCACAAATACACTGAGTACAGCAAATGGGCTCTTGAACTTATCTGTTTGGACCTACGATTGCTATCCTCGCGTATGCACGGGATTTTTGCCAGTTTCCTTCTGCACAATAAAAAGAAAACTCCTTAAAATTATTTATGTAACATCCCAGGATCCTCCCTCTGAGGCTTTCATGAATTCATTCAAGCGTTTTTATTAACTACTGTCAATGTATAAACACTCATTAATTGGATGAATACATCTTAATATCTTAATATATAGAGGACACCAGAGGTGGGACAAAGTCATTGTTATGCAAGTCCAAGTCGAGTCTGAAGTCATCAAATTCATGACTCGAGTCTGACTCGAGTCCAAGTCACATGACTCGAGTCCACACCTCAGAGGTGGGACAAAGTCATTGTTATGCAAGTCCAAGTCGAGTCTGAAGTCATCAAATTCATGACTCGAGTCTGACTCGAGTCCAAGTCACATGACTCGAGTCCACACCTCTGGAGGACACCTTCCAGCTTTCTGTGGTTCGTCAGCAAGTGTGAGATGCAATTTACTTGAACGACAGTGCTATATACAACTAAACATTATAATTCTACTATGATCATTTAGTGGTGGGGGTAGAGCAGTGGTGCAGTGGTTAGCACACCGCGCGATAAACCTGGCAACTTGAGTTGGATTCCTGTCCCTGGCTAACACTGTTGTCGAGCGATATCTGCATCCGTCTTGTGGCCCCCCATTCACCAACCCGCACTGACCAGCATGGTGAAGTATGGTCAATAACACCCCCACAACCGAAAATGAAACGGGGAGGCCATCATCCAGCAGTAGCTTGACACAAAGGGCTGTGACAATCCACTGCACATATTATTAAGTGGAGTCTACACACAAGGCCAAGGGATTTTTGGATCGCGGATGCCTTAATGAACCATAGAATGAAGTCGCGAATGCGAGGCTAACTGGAGCCATCGCGGCGTCAGGCTCGCACGTTCAGCGCTGCTGCGTTATTAACCCCTGGCAGGGCCATGATGATGACTGCGTGCGACGTCTCTGCCATCACCAAGCCGTGGCCTGTGCAGCAGAAGGTATGGATCCCTTCCTGCGCTCGCTTCACATCCCGAGCATGGCCGCCCCGCTCACGTTCGCAGTGGTGCAGGGGGGGAGACAGAACGTCGGCGGCCTTGTGCAGAGAAGCACTTTGTTCGGCGGTTGAACGACATCTTACTGAATTTCGATTTAAAGCCTGAGGACGGCTGCTTGTGTTGTGGCCGAAACGTCGTGAGAATTATTGTATTATGTTTTATTTATATTATTTCATTATTTCCCTTCTACGTGACTTTACCGAAAGAACCAAGAAGGAGAAATCTTACTGGTCCGTCATCCGTAGTGTTGGCTGGAGGGTGAAGCAGCAGTGGGTGGTGCTAAGAGTCTGTGGTGCCAACCGACATAAACGTTTGGGAGGGGGCAGCAGCATTGTTCAATTATTTATTCACAGATGTATGTCTGTGAAAAATCTGGAGGTTGTTGGGTACTTTTTGAAAAACCCTATTTAATATTGACACGCGATGTGGCAATGGGCCTTACGACGAATGTTGTTGACGAAATAAACACGCACATTGACAAATAAAACGCTCCAATCAGAGACATCATAGGCATGGAACACATCACGAAAGGGGTGGCAGCCGGTGGTCAGAATTTCAACTAAAATAAAAAAACAGCAGAGTGGTAGCCAAACGTGGGAACAGTCCCGAGAATACAACCACTATGGGGAGAGTGAGGATAAGATTGAACTATCTACTATTAATAACTTTATTTTTTATTTTACCAGGTAAGGCCTACTGAGCTATATTGCTCTTTTTCAGAAGCGACCTGGTCACAAATGATAGCTTCACGAAGTGGCTTATCATGTGGACATTTATAGCAACCAAATACTCGAAACGCGTGATGTTGATTCTAAATGTGGAGGGAAAAATCGTAGGACCCGGAAAAAACCCACGCGACCACAGGGAGAACACACAAACTCCAAATATACAGGTGTCTGGGTCTAGATCGAACCCACGACCTCTTGCATACAAGGCGAGATAGTTAACATATCGCGACTACACTCATGTGCAGGAGTGAAATGGATTGTAACATAGTACGATCATGAGAAATGGTCACAAACATATAAAATCAGTTGCAGAAGTCCGCAGAGGGGTGTATATAATGGATATGGTTTGATGCTAAGCACAGAGTCTGAGAGAAGCAGGCTGCCAAAGGGTTTCACGCAACTGTGAATTTTCCCCACACCCACAGAGAAACATTGATTAACGTTGCACGCACGCGCTGGGGAACGAAGCTTCATCAATAGAAAGTGCGCGTCATGTTGTACTCACTGTTGGGTCCACGCCTCTCATGGTTTTGCTGACACGGGGACGAGACATCGCTTTGTGTTTTACCGCAAGACGAATAAGACCACAAACAGCAATCGTCGTCTCTCTCATGTTCCTACAGATCGCCGAGCTGGTAGCCTCCGAGTTTTTCGATCAAGGTGACAGGGAGAGGCAGGAGCTGCACGTGGAGCCCATGGTAATTGCCTCCCTCTCTCTTCATCGGTGTCAAATCTCGGGAAAAAGGCTCTAAAGGCCCACGCATACCCGCACACACACAGGCTCCTGTTTTAGACACTTACCCAGGTGCAGTGGCTTACCCGTGATGCAGATTTCTTGAGTTGGTGAATTACATGGGTATAACGATAACATTAATTAAATTTTAATTGTAAATTAAATACTGAAAATGCATCTTCTATTAATTATGATGGTTGCTTGTGTTGCAATCGAATCGTCGTATTCTGTTATTATTTAATTACATTTCTTTCTACGTGACTTCACCAAAATGATCAAAGGGTAATTCCTGCAGTCACGAAAGCTTCTAGTCTAGTTTGAACCACCTCTACTGGGAATATTTGCCGTGCTTGTTTGTTTCACACTTAACTTCTAATTTAGCAACCAGGCTCTGCGTTAACTGTGTGCTAACCGACTCTCTGTGTTGCATTGCATTACACTTCCTAATTTTTATAAAATTTGCTTTCTACCGTGCTTGTTCCGTGCTTGTTTATAAGTTCATTCTCTCCTCTGGCCGCTATGGGGAGGAATTCCACACAACGCTCCGTGCTTGTTTGTTTAGAAGTCCAGTTTCCAGCTCGTCCGTCCGCTATGGGCAGGAATTCCACGCAACTATCTCATTGTTTTCTACTCCAAACCCCCCTCTGCCCCCCCTCCTTTATCTATTTACGGCCTCGACACAGAGACGTTGTCTTTCTGTGTGCCTATGTGTGTGTCTCTCTCTGTCTCTGTGTGCGTCTCTGTCTGCGTGTGTGTCTGTGTGTGTGTCTCCGTGTCTATGTTTGGTCTCTCTCTCAAATTTAGCAATCTTTGGAAGAACGTAATCAACCAGATGGGGTGTTGACTGTTGTGTTGCCCGACTCTCTGCGTTGTCTTGCACTATATTTCTAAATTTACTATGTTTGTTTTCTCATTCATTTGTATCTGATGATGGCTGCTTGTGTTGCAATCGAAACGTTGTATTCTATTATTATTTTATTTATTTCGACGTGACTTTACCGAAAGAACCAAAGAGTGCAACTGAGTACATTTGTGAATAAAATCATGAAACTATTTGTATTTTACTCGGTAAGGCCCACTGCGCTATGTAGCTCTTTATCAGAAGCAACCTGGCCACAAATGATAGCTCAATGAAGTAGCTTATCACGTGGAAATGTATAGCAGCTAAATACTCTAAATGCATTTTGATTCAAAATGTGAAGGGAAAAATCGGAGGACCCGGAGAAAAATCCACGAGAACACGGGGAGAACATGCAAACTCCAAATATACAGTCGTCAGGGTCGGCGCCGAACCCACGACCTCCTGCATAACACCACGGCGACCTTTTTAATTCTACTGATCAGAGCCTTTCTTTGGAATTCGACCTGCTCATGTGACCCGATGCTGCTCAGGTCACATACTGATCCAACCTCGGGTCGTTCAGGTCACCATATCCATCGCCGTGTTGCTGTCAAATTTGGTCGATATAATTCAAAAATGTGATCGATCTGAAACAAACCGAAGTTTCACGACCTTATAGGAAACCTTCAGCCGTGAGTCATTGTTTTTTGACATGTAAACATTTCAATATCTATGCACGTGATTGTGTCAATTGAGCTGCTTTTAGGCTTCAACACTCATCAATATTACTTGTCATTTTGAGGTCTCGATGTCACAGAATGGAGTGAGAATAAGTTTTCCCCTTTTTTCCAGCAACAAAATAGGTGTTAAGATGTTAAAACACCAAACTGAAACCTTTTACAAGGAATCATGTCTGCATTAACCACAATACTTGTGGTCAGAATACAAAACGAAAACGTACGTATCAGAGTACGTATCAGAGTACGTTTTCGTTTTGTATTCTGACCACAAGTATTGTGGTTAATGTAGACATGATTCCTTGTCAAAGGTTTCAGTTTGGTGTTTTAACATCTTAACGGTAAAGTCACGCAGGTATAAAATAAATTAAATTACGTTTCGGGCGCAACACAAGTGTCCTGACGACGGACGCTTGTGTTGCGCCCAAAACGTCGTGATTTATTTTATTTTATCCCTACGTGACTTTACCGAAAGAACCAAAGAGTATGGATTCCTGCAGTCATGATAGCTTCAAATCAAGATCTTAACACAGCTGTTTTGTTGCCAGATTAAAGGGGAAAACCTATTCTCATATTTTGGCACTGGCAAAGGAGGTCCCATGATGTAGAATGGAGTGAGTTCCACTCTGTATTGGCTCCCACAAAGTCCCACCGCCAGCAATAACGTTGAGTTCCTTTCACTCTCGCAGGTTGACGTATTGTTGCTATCGGCCAGCTCCACCAGCAGCAGCGGGGAGGGAGAGCTCTGCGACCGCCGTCTCAGACTCCCGTGCGAGGGGACGCTCGTCCACTGTGTGCGTGACGCGGGATTGTGATCACCGCGCGCTACGACGGTGTAACGTTGGCACGTTTGTGCCCCTCACTCCGTGTGACTCTGACAGGATATGATGAACCGGGAGAAGAGGGATAAAATCCCGACCATCCAGGTCGGGTTCATTGATGGGATCTGCCTGCCCCTCTATGAGGTACGGTCGTTGAGACTTTTGCTCGCAGCATTCGGCCTCAACCCACGTTCAAATGATGCCACTGCGCGGGTTGAGCGATAGTGCTGTACGGTACTCCGATGTATTTTTGGATTCGACCGCACGTTGTTCGGCATGATGTCAGACGTTTTGTTCCACGAGACCGCCGGCAGTGTCTCGGTCTTGTCGGGCATTATTATTATTTTTACAAACTCTTTCTTTTTTTACCAGGAAAGGCCCACTGATCTAGCTATTTTCTCACAAACGACCAGGCCACAAATGATAGTTCAACGGAGTGGTTTATCACGTGGAAATATTTACAGCAGCCAAATACTCTGATTCACGATTCCAAATGTGGAGGGAAAAACCGGAGGACCCGGAGAAAAATCCACGTGACCACGGGCAAAGAGACACGCAAACTCCAAACATAGAGACATGACTTTTAGAGGAAGAAAAATGAAATCTCGAGTTCACCTCTATTGCGAGCGATAATGAGCGTGAGTGAGGAATTCCACTTTACCTCCCCTGCACGGGGCATGTGTTCGACAGGGCACAAGGGGCACGGGGGGGGGTCACGTTCCAAATACCTTCAGACCCCCTCTGCAGACCCAGTCTCTTCACTGCTATCTCACTAACGCACGCACACACACAAGGGGCCGTCCATAAATGATGTCATGCACCTAGGGGGGGGGGGGGGGTGTGACAAGGGGGAGGGGTTGAGAAATATGACGTCACATCAAAATGCGCAACTTTAAATAAATATAGACAACACGTTCTACTTAATTAAATAGACTTTTTAATAAATGTTTTCTCCTACAACATCAGAGTGCAGCGCCACATTAAATACGCACTACAATGACAATAGTTTAAAGCGATTTGAAGCATGTTTAAAAAAATTTGGGGGGGGGGGGCAGAGCTTTGTGACGTCATTTGAGGGGGGTCTGACTTTTTGTGACGTCGTGTGACGAGGGGGGGGGGGGTCAAAAATCGTCCAAAATCGCGTGACGTCATTTATGGACGGCCCCTAACTCACACACAACTCAAACAAGGAATGACTTACTCTATAATTATGCAACATAAAGCTAGAACTGAGTAATTACTGTCCTCGCCGGTGGAGGCTGGTTGTGAGGAACACTAAAGACGATCGTGTCAGGGCGAGTGTGATTTATTTGTTCATGAGAGGAGCAGACAGGGAAACAATGTCACCTGCTTCCGTGCTCAACAATGGGCTGTGGATGGTCCATCGTTTCTTTCTCCTCAATATCACGAAACATTTCAGTTGCGGTTGATCTTTTTTTGCACCCGTGTATCCCTCACTCGCATATGGTCAAAAAACACCAAATATACCACACCAGTGGCTAGGGCAGACCGGACTACGAATCTACTTCGGGCAAAGCGTGTGTCGTAAAAACCTAAACGCTTTCGAGACAAAGGGGAGGGCGGCGTTGAGGCAGCCACCTTCGGCGGTCGGTCATGGAGAACGGCAGCGGGCGGCATCGTCCCCTGGACCCAACGGCCCCGCCGGTCGTAGCCAGCACGGTTACGCGGCCGTGGACATGGAGAGGAAGGGGCGTACAGGACAGCCCCCCCCCCCCCCCCCAACGGCACCACCATCGCGACCCCCGGCTCCTCCGTCGCATGCCGCTGCGACCCCCCCCCTGCCCCGCCAACCTCCCCCCGTGTGCTTTCCTGTCTCTTTGATAGTCAACAAAAATTGCCACGCAGTTGCTGACCTGCGTGGACAGAACCACACCGCAGACCGCGGGTCAGGTGCATGTACAAATGTGAGCGATGGATTCGGAAACCTTGACTCTTGAGGAAAAACTCAACGCATTCGTCAGTAACACTGCCGTGAAACGGAAAAATATCGAATTGGCAACGTTTCAGGCAATGGTCCTTCTTCAGAGCAGAGCATCCAAGACGTCACCTAGTGTACTTATGCACTGTATTGTTTTCTCCTGAGTGCGGTGTTATTGGCACGCAGGGTGGTGTTGGGTTGTTTTGTTATTTATTGCAAGGAGGCATTTGTATCGTTCTGATCTCTCTACTCCCCGCCGCGTCCCCTCCCGCAGGCCCTCAGTTGCGTGTTCCCAGCGTGCGCGCCCTTGCTCAGCGGCTGCCAAAGCAATCGGCAAAACTGGGAGAAGCTCACGACGAGGTGCGATGGGCAGCAGGATCCGGGAGCGGAGCTCAACGATGAAGGATTGAAATGAAATCGAGACCGAAACGTTCAGTCAGGAAGATGTTATTATGCACTGTATGCGCGAAGACATTTTGTTACTACACCCCAGATAGGGATGCGGACATTCTACGTTTTTCTTTCCATTGCGTGTAGTCCCCAGGGGGACGATCGTGAAACTCGTGCATGCGAGGTGGCCCTCGCAGCAGGAGACGACCTCCGGCGGCGTAGTGGCCGCGATTGGCTTGGGCCCCGGGGTACAGGCGATCAAACGGCTCCCACCGCACCCCGGGGTGACGTTCCACCCCATTCGTGGCCTTTGCGCCTCGACCGCACACAGCACCACGCGTGTCTCTCCTCAGAAGTCTTCTTGGCCGGTGTATCACATTGAGTGGCCCTGCCCACGGCCTTGTATTTAAAAACTAAAACAAATGATAGCTCAACGAAAGCGGCTTATCATCACGTGCACCGCCTGGACATCTTGATGGCTACGCCACTGAGGGCATCAAAGTAGACCCATCTGTATACACTGGACTGCAACAAGGTGGCAGCGTTGAAATTGGACGGATATTAATTTTAATGCTAGAGACCTTCCACCCACGACAGTACACTTGGCAATAAGCAGTATGACTGGTGCTAGTTTGCACATCACCGCAGTGAGGGGTTCACTCAGTACTGCTCTGCGCACCGCTCGCATTAATTTATTCCTGTAGCTTGTGAAAGTTCTGCCAACCTCATCTGCGAGACTGTCCACACACTCTGTGGTTTGTTCACGTGTTGTGCCCCATGTGTCCGCGATCGCGTGTCTGCTGTGCGTGAGAATGTGATGTACTGCATGTCCTGCATTCTGCGTCTGCTCTCAGTGGACGGTGTTTGCGACGTGGTGCACCCTCGCGATAATCTCCGCGTACGTGTCAGCCATCGGCAGGGCTGTCACCAGCTCTCATAGGCCACTGCTCGCACGCCTCCTGTCCGCTCCAACTGTGCCACGTTGTTAACATCTGGCATCGTGACAAACGAGAGAGAAAAAAACCCTCCGCAAACAGCTTGTGGTGTCTTTTTGATTTCCTGCTGCTCAAATGAGCATTGAGAAATTGATGTTCACGCTCCCCCCCCCCTTGCACCCCCGCATTCCTCGTTTGCAGAGCCAGTGGTGGAATACCAACATTTCTATGGTGGGGGGCGTCTATCCACAGGATAATCATTGTTGACTTTACCGCAAATTTGTGCTCGTTTTAGTCACCCCGGAGGGATGATGGGCCGTCAACAGTCAATCTCCAAACCAAGATCTTGACTGGCAACTTTCTGATTGCGAGCCGGTTGCTCTACCATTGTGCCACCAGATGGCAGCCTGGTTAGTCACCGCTTGTCACGCAAACGAAGCGACCAGATTGTAACGTGTCGTGGAGGGATGTTTGGATTTGGCAATGATGCACCACGACGCATACCGCTTGCTGTGCTTCTCATGTCCTAAATCCGATCTGTATGCGTCCTACTGTAATGTTCGAGTATGCCCGCTCCGAGCCTCACATATTTTATAACAATATTTCACAGCCACCGCATTTCCACGTCAACCACGTGAGAACTTTGTATAAATGCATTGTTGGAAGCCGGACATTCATTTATACAATTTTTTTTCTTTTTTTACCCAAACCTGTGTATGTACCTTTGAAGATGCTCCTGCTTCTGTACATATTGTTAGTATATTTTTTACATTGTACAGTAAACATTGTTGGAAATGTTTCTCGAGTTTGTGGTGGCATGTGTTCAGCGTGTGTTCTGTACGTCTTAGCGATAGTGGGAATAGCATAGCAAGAATTACAGGTGCGATCATCCAGCCCACACTTGAAACGTGTTGCTTTTGTATCGTCCCAGGTAGTTTACGAGTCAATCTCGTGGCGACCTCAAGAGACGCTTTTGCAGTTCTGAAGACTGTAGTTGTTAAAGAAAACTGATACAACACGGCTTTGTAGAGATGTCTTAATGGAGCACGATACACTGGCGGCACTCAAGCGCCCATGCTCTCTCCAGCGCAGTGCCTTCCCTCGCCACTAGTAACACGGCTTTAACGCTGCTCGTGTCGACCACATTCGTTCCCTACTTGGCTACACACAGCAACATACTTGCTCACGAGCGTGCACCCAACAATATACGGCTTCAACCGCACACAAACCCCTCGACAGAAGCCTTCTCAGCTGGTGTCTCACATTGAACCCATGGGCTTATATTTGATTTATATTTGAAAAGCAAAGATTGTTTTTAACCAGGTAAGACCCACTGAGCGAAATAGTTCTTTTTCAGAAGCTATCTGGCCACAAATGATAGCTCAACGAAGTGGGAATTGATAGCAGCCAAAGAGTCTAAATGCGTGATTTTGATTATAAATGTAGAGGGGAAAACCGGAAGGACTCGAAGAAAAATCTGCACGACCACAGGGAGAACATGCAAACTTCAAATATATAGAGAGTTAGTAAGGTTTGTCACGTCAACAAGGCATGCCAATTAGTGACTAGTTGAGCACACCAGTGTGTTGGAGAGTAGACCCACGATTTTTTCTAACCCTAAAAAAAAAAACTGATGGATAATATTGGTCACGAAATCCTGCTACTCGTTAAACACATTCAAATTGAGCAATGCTCCCATTGGTTGTCGAGACGCTATTCTCCACGTGTTTGGCTCCAGGCCCTTCTGGACGGTGGGACCCTCTCTGGTGAAAGAGCCTAATATGTTAACTACCTCACCAGGTTGATTTACAGGAGGTCGTCTATCTCGATCCCGACACTGACGCCTGTTCTATATTTAGGTGTGTATATTTTGACACTGGCAAAAAGGTCCCATGGATATAACACTGTAAAGGTTTTTTGTTAAATTGTGTAAATTAAAATGTATCATTAACCAACCACCACCAGACACAGTCATTTAATAAGGTTGGTCACGTGAACTAAATGTGCCAATTAGTTACTACTTCAACGCCTGCTTCGTTACTAATTATGCATTGGCTGTTGGCGGGTTTAACGACGCATATTTACGCAATCTAACCTGAAAACAAAACTTTTATGAATAATATTTGTCGCGAAAGCCTACTGCGTATTAAACCTCATTATGCGGGACGACTCATTGTCACGATTCAAGGTCGCATTTTAACTCAAAACACGAGGCGAGTGGATGACACATCTAATATCAAAAGCTCTCCACTGACACTGGCTGCCAATAATGTCAGTAAACCAGCTCATTCACCCGTTCAAGACGCACCAACAACATCTCTAACCCTGCACCAAGCAGCCGCTAGAGGGCGACGTCAACCTGGAGGCAGTTTTCTAAGTTGACGCTGCGTTGTCCAGCGCATGAAATAGCACTGTGAGACCAAAGCGTGGAGTGGCACGGGGGGGGGGGGGCAGTCAGGGACATTCGTTTAATTTCGCTTGTTTTCTTCTTTACGTATTTTTCTGTATCGATATCTAGTTAGCAGACGATGGAATTATTTGGACGATGATGATACAATATCCGTTTAGTCTTCATAGGCACTGACAACCAAGTGGTGCACTTTGATTGCCAGCTGCATTGATAATTTATTATTGCAGAAGTTCGGTGGGTTTGAATCCGGCAGGCCACCCTGGTTATTTTTTGCGGGTGTATTAACCATTACAGTACGCGCCGTCTGCTTAACGGCGCACTCGAAAGATCCCTCTGAAGCCATTTGAAACACGTCGGCCATAGTGTGCCGGCATCATGGTCCACATTTGGAGCCTCATCGGCACACTACTCAATTGGGATTACACAAAGCAATGTCAGCCTTTGCTGTGAAACTACTGCAGACCGTATCTGAAACACATCAGCGCCTTCGCGATGATAGATTTGCGTGTGCATATCAAATGTACTCCGTTATTATGTATCAATATATTATTATTATCTGTATGAATTAAATTGAAGGTGAGCCGGTGGTGGAAGTTATTGCTAAGATTATAAGTGATATTTAGCATTTTTATATCAAATTGGAATTTGTTCAATTGAAAAAATATAAAGCTCTACTTTGGTATTCAAAGCCACTCCTCTGCACAATATATTCTGTGCTTAGATATATTTTTCTTGAAAGAAGGATATAGGAAGGATACAGGCTGTCGGGAAACAGGATTATATTTATTTATAAGCAGTATATTGAATTTCGTGCATTCTAAGCAGGAGGTCGTAGGTAAATCTTGTCACATTGTGGGTTTGGCTGCACTTGATAAATGCCCTGTACTGCGCTGAGCTGCCATAGATTCCTGCTTTTTTAATGTTTGGCTTTGGATGTGAACTAACACATCAAAATAAATACGAATATGCGTATGTAAGGTGCACGGCTTAGAGCATGAAGATATGGGTCTTTTGAACAAACTTTTCTATTCAGTCAAACGTATACACATCGAACGGGCTTTCTGATATTGATAATTTCTCATGAGTTAATACAGCTTTCTTGTGAAATGCATCAATCATACCCATTGCTACTTAAAGGATTTGTTAATTAAGCTACCGATGTAGATTACATTGGTGAATTACAAAGTTTGCAATAGAAGTTTCATTTATATGCATTAAACATTACATTGCAGCTGATTCGTGAGTGCAAAAAAGTCTGATTTAAAAAATTTAATTACTATTTTGATGGATTTGGTAATATACATTTAAAAGCCCAGAGTCGTAGCCTTACTGAACGCCGTGTAGTGTTAGGATAAGGCCAGACATAATATTTTGTTAAGACAAGTCATGTTAACTAGCATATGAAGACAGAGGAGCGCATGAAGGGCCGGTGCGACCAACACGTCCGACTGCCTTTGTCTTTTGACAGACAATGTCGAAGGACCAGACCAGTTTCAAATTCCAACAGGCAATGGTTTGCCTGGCCAGGAGTTGAATGCTGGTCGTCAGGTTTATAACGCAATGCACTCAATCACTAAGCCGTGGCTCTTCACTGTAGCACACCACAAACATATGAACAACACACCCATACATTTTTGAATGTGCACCTCATCGGATCGAAAAGCAATCCAGAGCACCACAAAGCACCGCAAAGCGGGCACTAATGACTCGTGCTCTCTGGTCCCCTTCGCAGAATTAAACAATTGTCAAAGGTATTTGGTCAAGGACGCAAGCGAACACAAAGTACAGATGCGAGCCGTGCAGATAAAGACTGGAGTGTGGAATGGAGAGATTGTTAATATTCAGTGGCTTTACGTTGCTCTTAGCGCATGTGTTTGGTAACGGAGGTAATGCCAGCATCTATTTTGTTGTCTTTCTAACGCTTTTAATTTAATTAAAATTTGATGACAAATGTATGTTTGAGCACGACAACACGGGATTGCCTCGAGGGCAGAGTCGACCTGCAGATAAATGTTTGAAACACTTCAAAAAGCCATTGATGGGCTGCCAAACACCTAGTTTAGATGCTGGAAAACGGCACTATAATTCAGCAAGTTACCAGTCTACAGACACAACTTTGTGTAACTACAGTTTCACTATTTTACCGAGAGATTTTCTAAAGGCTACGGTTTTCACAATAATTTACAACTGCACAACAAATGGAACGTGTTGGTAAAATAAAGCATATTAAAGGCTAAACCAGAAACACGTGTTCCTGTTTGACTTTCCATGTGTTCAGTCACGTAAAAACCCATGCGACCGTGATTGTCTGGCATCACGGATGCGCGCGTTGCTCACTGGGTTTGACCCCATGCGCCGACAAGCGACATCTATATTCCTGGAGTGACAAAGTGGTCAGCTTGTGAGCCTCCCTAAACCGCAGCCTGATTGATATATCGATTGTTAATGGAAGCGTGGGTGTCCGTAATAGACACGGGCACGTGCAGTAGTTGGGTCGAGGAGTGGCTTGGGAGACCTCGTGGCACTCATTACGTGCATGAACGATGCACCGCGGCGTGCACTGGGACGCGTACCCCCCACCGGTGCTCAAATGACTTTTTTTTTTAACAAACGAAAGAAATGAAGCTCATAAACCAGAGTCAGTAGCTCATGACACACTCAGCCCCCTTCCCCCCATAGGCCACAGAGTGCTTGAAATGCTACATCGTGGCTTTTTTCAAATACGTTTTTTTTTAATTGGCAGGTTCGGATAGGCCACACTAAAATTGCTTGCGAGGTGTTTGGGCTGGCATGAAATTGAGCATAAAATTGTTCATTGCATTATTTTTTCCCTTTTCTCTTTCCGTCCGCGTTTCATGTTGACTGCCCACAATCTAAAACAACAAACATCGCCGCCGTCGTATGTCTGTAATCGTATTCATGAGGTTCAGTAACTCAAAAGGGACTCTTTTAAAATGTCGCATTTGCATGTTGACGCGACACAATTGGATAAAACATAAATTACAATTATCACGGCACGTGAACAATAACTACTAAAAGGGCATGTGTAGAAATGCGAGTTTTGTGTATGGATATACACGCTGCACGCCCTGAAAGGGTTCTGTGAGCACTTAATAGTCCCTGTGTTGTGTTTGTGTTGAACACAAAACTAGAATGCACGAGAGATATGGCTTCTGCGAGGCTGCAACATTTCTTTGGTCTTTGAGAAGCGACCAAACATTACATTTTGCCTCAGTTAATTTAATTCCTTTTAAAAGGCACTGCCCTCCCATTAACTCAAGCGGTGCCTAAGGCTTCGTTCTCTTTAGTACATATATCGCGTACCAACCCCATCGTCCCTGCCAGACAGACGCGCTCTATTGCGAACCCTGCCCTGGTTTCCCATCCAACGCTTCAGACCACTGCAACCTGCCAGGCCAAATCATAAGCGTAAGCGAATTAGAATAAAAAAAACGGAAGGGCAAATATGTGCAATCTATTACACGTGATACAATGTAGTCGGAATCCTCAATTGAAAGCTGAAAGATATCTTAATTAAAGTTGCACATGTCCAATTAATAATTGTGCCGGGGTAATAATCCATGCAAAAAAAATCCGCAATTGGAAATTACTGGGTGCAGAGTGGGATGCCAGTGACGAACGACAGTAATCGTATTTTATTTAATTAGTGATAAAATGCATTGCTATTAAACACAAGCTGCACCGCCAACGAATCAACTAGTCGAATGAGCGCGTACAAGTGTACAACGATAGGAGAGAAACATCACTGCTGTCGCAACGATATCAGCGGTGACGGGACATGGCTATAACCAACACCGACGTGAGATGCCCTGTGAAACGGTGCCCGAAACATTCCATCAGTCGAACGAGCTGGGATCGCCGCACGCTGGGCCAACGATGCTCCCGGTGGGGAGCCAGTAACACGTGCTGCCGCATTCATAAGCAGAAAAGCGTTGCTTATTTAGCTGCGGCGGTACCCTGGGCAAGCACACACACTCCGAACACTCGCCTCGGTCACAATAAATAGTAAGATTCCACACAACTTTCATTACGATTCCCCGGGGTGATTTCGTAAAAAAAAAACTATGTTGATATCCGGCACACCTTCGAAGCAGTTTTTAAAGTTAACGCTTTTTCGATAGATGGATATATGAACGAACAAATAAATAAATAAATAGCCAGTGTACTCGCTGATTGACAGATGGGAACACTGGGTGTGTCTATTTTCGGTAGGACCCGCTTGGTGGTTGTGCTCGCATGCGAGCCGCGTCCACGTGTCACGCGGAGGACGCTGGGTGGATGGGCGAGCGAGCGAGAAGGCGATCACTGCCGCTGGCGCTGCTCGCGGTGCTGGTGGTGGTGGTCCTGAAGTGGACAGCGCCCGGGTTCCTGTAATGTAACGCAGAGGAGCGCTGTAAAATATGTATGCTGGCAGGCAGAGGGAGGCTGTGGGAGCAGTGTGTGTGAGCTTCGGGCTCCTCCTTCCCTCGAGTCGGTTGGCGTTAAGGAACGGTCCGGTTGCGTTTCAATAATCTTAGCTCCCCCCGCCCCACCACGTCCCTAACCCCCACGTCCAACCCCCCCCAACTCCCCCTTTCTCATTTCTGGCGTTACCGCTCCGGCGGCGCGAAGTGACAAGCGGAGATAAAAATACATAAACAAATACTCAACAGCAGAGATCAGCTGTCAGTTCGTCGTCCCTGCCCAGATCGCCCTCTCTAAACATTTCTGCGTGGCGTGGCTCGGTAAGAAGCGCGCGAACGACAGAAGCAGCGCAGGCTGCGGTGCGAACGAGCGGTGGCTTTTTTAATTCAAGGTTTTATTTATTTACTCGTTTGCTCTTCTGAGCGAGGTGGAGGGTGCTGCTGAAATGTCGAGCGACAAAATCCCCCCCACCCCCCTCCCGCTCCCCGCCTGTATGCGCGCCGTCTCAGTGTAGCAGCCAAGGCGGGCACTCCTTAACAGGGCAACATCGGGCAGCGTTAGCACCCGTGTTGGTCCAGCTCCAGGGAGCAGCGCAAGCCGCCTCAACTTTACTCATTCATCAAAGGGTAAGTAGGGGGCTCTGATAAGTCGCTGTTGCATTACCACCGTTTATTACGATCGTTATATTGTGACATGCGCAGGCGCACGATAAAAGCCGGGCTTATAGCGACGGTGTCCTTGTAGCATGTGCAATGCCGAGCGCCTAACTTGTAAATAGCGCTAATGTTACAGTCATTTGGCGCTGCTGCGGTGGTAGCGGCACACATGTAGAAGTAACAAAAAACAACTCAGCACAATCGTCAATCACAACGTGTGCTTAACATTTAAAATATAAATAATAGGTAACGTTTCTGGAACGTTTCGGGCAATGGTCCTTCTTCATAGGACGTTTTCAAAAGACACTGAATGTGCTATGAAACGTCGCCTTTGATATCGTTTTCACGTTAAGGCCACTGTTATTGACGAACGTGTTGAGTGTTTTTTTACGTCGTAATGTGCGCTTTGATACTGCATTTATATTTGTGATTTCGAGTGGTGATTTATGTCACAGATGTAACTTGTACATTTGTACTGGCAATTATATTCACTTATAACGAGCGGGGTCAGACGTGCGTGCAGTGTGGTTTTCGATATGCACTGCAATCCATGTAATATATATCATTTACTCCAGTGACAACCACGCTGGGACCCGGCACACAATATCGAATTCCATTCTCAAGGGAGCCTTGAAACATCGCGTTGCAGAAATGAGGGTGCAACTATTATTAATGCTTTCAAATTGTGTTGTAAATATGATTGTGAATATAAATTGAGATGATGGATACGGCGTCCTGTGCTCTTAAGAACGATGCCACGGGATCTCTGACGTACAGGAGACGGCTCCCATTGGTTCAGCAACACGGGGTGGAAGGATGCATCCAGTCGTTGATTCGTTTACAATGTTGACCGCTCAAGAAAGATATATCGAATCTCGTGTGTAAGATCGGTAGTTTTTTTATGTATTAGTTTTATGCAAATTGTATGCTAATGTTATGTATAGACTAATAGAGTGGGGGTGAATAGTTATACCGGTGATGAATAACGTCCTGCAGAAGTTACAGAGCAGGAATAAAATGGTGTGAAACTCGCTCAGTGGGCATCGCCCATAATCATTCATAGGCACAGCAAGCCGCCAATCTTCTACACGTTGTAGAGACCGCATTCGTGTGGCGGGCACCGTTTGAGCGGAACCAAATGTAAGATTGGGATCTGAAAGTCCCTGGTGGCGCTCAGCGCAGCCACATTCATGGCAGTGCCGCGTCGGGCCTTAATTAGCAATTAAGTATTATTCCTGGATGTGAAGTCATTAGGCTGGCATGGGCGAGGAAGGCGTGATCTCGGCACGGTTAATGTGCGCGCTTTATGTGAGCAGATAAGGCCCAGACACTTATTCACTTCACGTGGGTTTTGTTTATGAGCGTTGTGTTTACCAAATGAAGGCGTTTACCGAAAATGCCAGGTGGCCACTTAATCAGCTGCATAGCAATTACATCATAACGTGAATTACTCTTTGCGTGGGTTTATACATTGCTTATGTGATTATGTGCATATGTACACACTCGTTTTGATTTATAATCAGGTGCATAGACCAGTTTCCAGTATTATTCAGTACAATATTAATCATTTCATGTTTATATAGCGTCATGATAATTGCACCCCACAATGCAAATCAATGACATTCATAGCAGGGCAGTCTATACATTGTCTCAATGCATCTTGTCACAAGATGCAATAAAATGTGAAGCAGCCTTAGGTTGCTTAGGATGCAGCGGCATTGATTGATTGCTCCCATATTGGCAGATGAGGGCAGCCAGGCAACGGGCCAGTTCTAAGTGTATTCATGAGGGCAGTCACCCACAACAGCCCCCCTCAATCTGACCCTGCACCGCAAGCACGTGGCATCAGAGGAACAGCCAAGCGAGTTGATGATTAACCGCTGTTTTTTTTAACTCTAATATAAATGTGTTTGCATCACGTGCCCCCCCCCCACCACAACCCCTCTCTTTTCTCGCTGCCTTTCCTCTCGAACGCTGTCGGTTTGCGGTGCGAGAAAGCCGCGTCTTGTACGCGCGATGTAAATGACGCGATAAATTCAAGTTGACAGATGATCCAGTCTCCATCAATTTTTCAAAAAAAAAAAGGGCCTCCACCTTCGTCGCTGGGTATCCGATTCCCTCGTTGCGGCGCGCGCCCACGACCGGGTTACCAGGCGCGCTGGTATCGGGTTGCGTATTCATCTGCTGTGAAGGCACCATGGACACGCAGAGCTCACAGCTGCGCGCTACCCCCCCACTGACTGACAGCTTCCACAGAGGCCCCATGCTTTATTGGAACATTCACTGCCTGACCTCAATCACTCAAGCCACGAACAAGGCAAAGGCCTATTTTAAATTCACAGCTTAATCAATTTCAACGTTTTATTTGCGCGCATCTCCATGCAATAACAGCGATGCAAGCAGCGTGACCCAACACAATTAAGAGAGAAAATGGGCTACTTAATTTAAGGTTTATAGCTCACCTTGCTCCTAACAGCAGGTAATGTTTGCGTGTGCTGTTGTATTCCTGTAGGGTAAATGGAAGTAAATTATCCATCAACGTTTAATTAACTCTCCGTGGACAAAAGGAGGATACAAAGTTTCGTGGGTAAGTTTTTTTGTAAACTATGCTTCCATCGATATCCAGAAATACGAAACGCATCCTTTAATCCACAAGTCTATGTCTCGGGCATATTATAGATTACTCGAGCTACAATCAAGAGATGGAGTTTCCCATTTTGGTTGTTGGTGTAAAGTATCACGCAGTGCCCATTGATGACAAAAAAACCTTTTTTAAATAATTAAGAATCCAATTTTGAATTACGTCTCATGCTCAGCAGTGTTAGTCACAATCGATGATAGAACATTAACACGTAACAAAATAGATGATGTTGCTGCTATATAATAATGACACCTAAATTTACCTTTTTACAGGGCTTCTGTGCAAGTTTTTTTGTGAAGATCCTGAACTACAGGAAAATCTATTTTTATTAAAGATGTTCTCGAGTAAAATCGGGACAGCATTACTCATCTCTGAGCTCTGCGTGGCATTTCTGCCACGTCTGGCTGGAGGTAAGCTTCCCCACAGATCCCGCTTCTGATAGGAGTGACAGCATGTCCTGAACTGGCCACTGTTATTTGTGTTAACGATTATAATATATATTTTGGTGTTTGATATATTTATTTCTTTTTTCAATCCATCGATGAGACTACCTGATGCCAGAGATATAAAACGCATTGAATCGTGCTAAGTCAGCTGTGTCCAAAATCACGATTTATCTGCCCTCCTCACGACCAAGCTTTACACGGGACATGCATGTCTTGTTAACATTTCCCAATCGAAACTCTAGTGCATTTACTTTGGTTAAAACGTGTTTACGTTGATTTGTGTATAATTGTATCGGCATATGACGGGAGTAACATTTGGTGTGTGTTTTTTACAGCAAACAGGCCACCAACGTTTCTGAATAGTTTCTTTGGAGGCTTTATCCCTGTTTCAGAAGACACGTTAGTCGGTGAGTTACACACCACGTGTTACACACCACGTGTTACACACCACGCTAGTCGGTGAGTCACACACCACGTGTTACACACCACGTGTTACATACACACTAAGCGTTACACACCACGTGTTACACACCACACTAGGCGTTACACACCAAGTGTTACACCCCACGTGTTACACACCACACTAGGCGTTACACACCAAGTGCCTGCCCGTGTCCACGCACAAAAACCATGCACGGAGTCGATCCATCACCGACTGGTGGAAGACAGCAGCCACAACAGCAGACAATCGTGCAGATATATTACCACACAGTTGCTTTGTTTTCCTATACAAATTGGTGCATTTTTGAATGTGGATGCACTTTCTAGACCTTCTGATGAATGGCAACTGACCGCCAAGTCAAGGATGCACTCGATGCTAAATTATCATTTTCTCTTTTGAAATTTGAAATGGGAAGGGTGAGCCTTTTCCACCGGTCAAGGAAACATTGCCGGAATGCGGTCATGTGAGATACAGAGTAAAAAGAATAATCACATGATTGGGTAAACAAATTAAAGGGTCATTTAATGAACGTGAAATTAAAAGAAAGGTTAACTAACTAGCGTACATGCATTATAAATGCACGGTTGAGAATGTAACAATTCTATTTTGACTGTTGATAAAAAAAACAAGCGGTGGGCTTTGGACAGTGGTGCGTCGTTGTAGCTAGAAGGGATGGCGGCCAATGATAGAGTGGGCAGCCAAATGAGGAATCAGGCTCGAAAGGACCGATCACCCCAAACGTGGGAGCGATGGAATCAGATGGCGTCCTGCAGGTGTTCGACGGATCGCTATATCGGGGGGTCGTGAGAGATAGGCGACAGCGTGCCGGAGAGTCTTCGTCCCATCGTGGATTGATCGTGGCCGGTGACGTTAATAACACTTGTGAAGGACTGTGTGCGTGGAGATAGTGCTGAGGACACCATAGTAAACGCCACCATGAATGAGCGATTGGCATCGAGTTCACTCGCCTCTGGCTGTGTCCACCTCGAGGTCGACTTCCTGAGTAATGGGAGCAACGACTGTAATTGACCAATGAACATTAATTACAGTCTCTCTAATGACAAAGTTAATTTCTGTAAAATACAAGCTGAGTATGAATTAAGCTGAAATGTAATATTTACGCGAATTAATTCCAAGCGTGGATCGTGATTTCCAGGAGTGTGTATTATCGGAGAAAAGCTCACAGAAGTTCCTGTGACACGCGGCACCTGTGAATTCTGGCGAACATTACCCCCCCCCGCAGGCCGCTTCAATCCACGCGCACGTCTCTCCCGCACACCGCTGCGATTTTAAATACTCATATTTGTTTGACTCTACACATATTGAGATGGGACCAGAAGGGATTGCTGCCTTGACACAAAATTCAATTACGTTGTTTTGGATGCGGTCATTATAACACTTTTATGCTGACGTTTATGTGACGCCTCCATAAAACCCGTATAGAATGCTGTGCAAATAAAATGCACCTAAGTATACGTGTAGAAATTAGCATTTTTTATCACGATATATTTTTTTGGGGGGCATAACAAGCATGTAAAAGTATACTATCTCACAAAATCTCCACCGACGAGCAGGCCACATCATATTCTCTACACGAGTCAGCACCATCCTCAACATTTGGCTGCCGAAGCGAAGATTATTGATGTGGATTGCCTCCACGTGTTCAGTGTTGTCGAGGTCTGGAGGGACACTGAAGACACTAAAAATATATTTAACGGGACAATAAATAACATTGATAAAGCTGGGAAGTATATAATAGAGGCTTCAAATGAATACGTGGTTTTAGGAATGCTATCTCTGCTGTGCAATTGGGAATTAAATCACATTTCACCCGCTGTGCTTTTTCAAACGGGTCTTGCGACATAATTATTTATTTCAGAGAATCCAGGGCACTACCACAGGACTACGTTTAAACATTCAAGAGCACTTTAGAAGGTTAAAAGGTAGCAAAGATCGGTCGCATCTGAACGTGTTCAATACGATTACATTGATTATTTGGCAACAGTGCTTCCCCCAAAGGTGCTTCCCCCACCCCACCTCCATGCTGGGCACCCAAACAGCAAAGCAACAAATGCCACCTTCCGTTGACAGCTTGCAGAAAAGATCTCTCGTGCACGCCCCATTCTGTGACAGGCAGTACTTGCAGAAAGAAAAAAAAATTGCTATAAGTTTTTTTTTGGTGTGTGCCTTCTCCCCCCCCCCAGCGAGACGACGTAGCACATGCGATTGCAAGTCCTCTGTGTTCAAGGCCATTATGAAACTTGCTGATTACACGGGGGGTAATGGAGGGTAGAGAGTATGGTATGTACTCTACGTATTTAACCCTTTTCGTGGCGCGAAAGCCAACGGCTGGGACAACATGGATTGTGAGAGAGCCATTCCATACTGCTGAATTTAGAGCGAGACTCAAGCACTTTGCCGGATGGGAGTTAGTAAAATATAGTGTTCAATGTAGTTGAAAGTAGATGGAGTCTGTAGATCTCTCCCAGTCACTGGTGGCATCAGAATTGTAATTTTCAGCCTGGAATTGTTCCTTTAAATTAACTGTGACCTTTCCATTTGCTACCCGGTTCATTATCCTGGGATGCATTACTACTGGCGATTCTCTAAATTGACTTTACTCCCATATCACTTCTTTAGCCAAGCCGTCGGTAACGATTAATGTGACTGTAACCCGCTTAACGCACGCGGACGCTAAAGTAAAGCTTGGGCAAGCACTGCCTTCACGAACTACGCTCAATAACCACCGCGATGTCAATGCAGAACCAGGATACACAGGGAAAAACAGACAATATGCCTCTTTCTCATGTTTCTCTCCACATATCAAATGTCAGTGTGTATTTTTTTAACACTCCCCAGTGGCCAAATGGCCTTTGGGAGTGCATGTCTACATATATATATATTTTTATCACCATGAGTTTAATACAAGTATTCTTTGTAAACGGGTATCGACATTCGTCATTGTTTCACGAGCAGAGACTGGCTTGTTTATATGCCAACACTAGTAACGGGATACCAACGAGTCGCCGTGTCTGGCGTAGACGAACGGATCTGGAGCATAAACCTTGTTGTGATCCACGGCAGGACAGAGAAGCGGAGAGGTTAATGGAGAAAAGTAAGAAAGAGAAAAGGAAAGCAAAGAGAGAGAGAGAGAGATCTGGGTGGAGAGTGTATGACGGTGTAAATGAGCAAGCCACCGTTGGGCGATCAGCAGAGTCCCACGCCTTGCTGTAGACCAGTGGCTTCTGTGGGCCCTGCCAGGCTGTGCATCGCGGTCTGCAGAACTGTTTGCGGGCGACTATTTTCCTCGCAAAGGATCGGATGCTACGCTCCATGGGCTGTCCGCCAAGCGTTGCTCAGGATTGGCTGCGGGCTCGGGGTTCAAAAAAGGTTGGGAAGTAATCCTGATATTTAAGCCAAGTGGAGCTTACACAGACTCCAAGTGAATTAATTAATCCTCTTTTTGTGAATGCTGTCAGGAGAGGTGTCAACTGACTCATTTTTGCACGCGCCCAAATTGCCTTTTAATATGCCACATTCTGCTCTACTGCCGCGCAATAATGCCAACGTTCTATTCCTGTCTGTCACGAGAGAACTGCTTCTTGTGTGTTAGTTCGTTGTCCTTTCCATACGTATGGTGTGAAAGAAGTTCAACATACATACAAACCGTGTACCATCACCCCACACACACGTCCTCGAGCTCCCTTTCTCTTTAAACAAATGCCCCTTTTTCCTTACAATCACCTTCATTGATTTGCACGATTCACCAGAGTGGAGCACTAGTATCAAGGCTTGTTGTTAATTGTGGTAAGATAACAGCGAACTGGACCGAGAACGTTACAGCAAGAAGCCATAATGGGATGCACAACTGCATCTGATGAAAGGATAATACGTATTCCCAATGCAGTCTTAGAGTGTGAGGCTATAATAGAATATGTGCAATGTGGAATTTGTATAATGGGTTCAGCATCATTAATAATGCATGTTTGAATGTTTATGGGCAACAGGCATTATCATTTCAATAGTTATACAATGTACACATATAATATCTGGATTACTCACAAGTTTACACATGCCACTGTGAGACATAATGTCCCAAATCCACTCGCTAAAATAACTGAAAATCCTTAATTTCCTTACATATGTAGTGAGTTCACCTGAGCCGCAGGTGTACACTTGGAGGCAACACATTTATTTAACACCAACACACAGGGTAACTGCCCCTTAACAGAATAACAACCTATGGTGGTGACTGCTACTACAGACCAGGACCACAGCTCGGGTTCAGGTCCCTGTGTTGGAGACTCGGTAGAACGTAGGACGTAGATGAAGGTTTCTTCAGGAGGATCCGGCTTTTATTCTCTGTGGTGTGGCTGGCTCCGCCCTTGGCCACGACCTCCTTCCAGAATCCTCGAGCAGGATCTAGACCCCAACCACGTGACCACCCATAGCACCCACTTGGGGCCCCTTTGTAGACTTAACAGGTCACGTGTCCTCTCAGGTCAACCAGAGTGCCATGGCCTTTAGTAACCCCATTCCTACGGCCAGCACTCCCACACCCTATCCTGTAGGGCTGTCACTGCACGCCAAGCATGATAGTATCCAGTGCTATCAATCAGCGCTGACCGAGCCCCTCTAGGGCAGGTACTACACCCACACGATAGTGGTAGACGTGATGTCAATACACCGCACGCCGTGCCTCTCTATGGCCGGCATTACACAGTGTCCTGTGCGTACAGTGAGGGAAAAAAGTATTTGATCCCCTGCTGATTATGTACGTTTGCCCACTGACAAAGAAATGTTCAGTCTCTAATTTTAATGGTAGGTTTATTTGAACAGTGAGAGACAGAATAACAACAACAAAATCCAGAAAAACGCATGTCAAAAATGTTATAAATTGATTTGCATTTTAATGAGGGAAATAAGTATTTGACCCCCTCTCAATCAGAAATATTTTGGCTCCCA